AGGGGGGGGTGCCTTTCTCTGTCTCAGGCCAGCAAACCCTGATCATTTCAATTTTTAAATGGTCAAAATCATGCTACTGTACCATTTTTTCCCCTTGATTCTCTGCTAGAAATTTGCAAAGGTAGACACGGGCGAAAAAAGGAGAAGAAGTTTCTGTTGAAATTGGACATCCGAGACACAGATGTAGAAATATAGATGATGGAAATATTTGACAGAAGGAAGAAAGATGAAAAACTACTGGTAAACTATCTAGGCACTGAAATAGTTCTCTCAGTGAAAAAATGACATTGATAAGTATATATGAGTGAATGAGTGACAGAAAACAGTCAGCTTGTTGCAATTTATTTTCCAGTATGCCAAGACTAACCAGCTCTACAAGTGACAATGTCCTGAGAAATTCTATGATTTTTTACTGTGTCATAAGTCATAAGATCAAGAGCAGAGGAAGGACTGCTGTGCAGCTGCTCCAGAGTTAAAGCAGAGCTTCGTGACAGGAGAGCAGAGAGGCAAGATGCACTGGGGCTTGTCTGTGTAACTTCAGTAAAGAAAATCCACACATCGGAGGTGGCAAACAGGAAACCTGCAAAATAACAGGCCCAAGGAATAAGAAAAAACCTTTCGAAGAATCCTCTGCTGCAGTTGTCTCTGAACTGTACCTGTGTCCAGATGCATGGGCTGCCTGCAGTAGAATGGCCTCCATCTAGGGCGTAGTCCTGCCTCACCCTCTGTGTCACCCCCTGCGTCTCCCCCTGCCTCACCCCCTGTGCCACCCCCTGTGTCTGCTGGGTTAGACTCTGGCTCAGCATGACCCTCACAGGAAGCAGCTGTAGGTAATGGATGGATGAGCTGGGAATTTTTACAAAAAGGACCCCAGACAAACTGCTTTGCCACTTTGCTGTGTTTTGTAATTTTGTTCATGTCTGAAATCCAGTAATATTAAGTTCTGTAAACTAGTAAACGAATACTATTGGTTCCATTGAGTTTAGACTTCACCCTTAAGTATTTTTATTGTAAAGTGTCATTAACCCTATACAGTCAGAAACACCAGCTATCAGGATAAAATACGCTGATACACAGTCTCTCTTCAGATAAATGATTTCTGAGCATGTGAGTTACTTTTAGAAAAAAAAAGTGATACAGTTCGGAAAACCACAAGGTCATGCACAGCGGTTAACACATCCTGTGCATGTAATGAGAAGCATTGCATAACACGAAGCAATGAGAAAATAAACATAATATTTTGGGGAAATGTTATACATTATTTAAACAAAACGAATAAAGTGCGTATAAACAGTGATGCACATTAAGCTATACATATTGTATTTCATGTCTTGTGCCCTTAAAAGTGTAAAGCTAGAAAATTAAATTACTGTATGCATACATAAAACATAATAGTACATACTGTATTATACGTGTTGTCCTTACAGTAGTCCATTGTGGGTGCAGATTAATCTGGGCCTGGTCAGTACTGGGAACACCAGGTTTTGGTAGACCAATAGGTGGCTCTCTTCCCTCTGGAAGAGCAGTTCCCAAATCAAGCAGGGTGACTAGGGAAACTGTGCAGACGAAGGTGCCGACCCTTCGGATGAGGTCCTCAGGTGTACATGCTGATCTTCCCATGTATCTCACAGCTTTCAGGAACACAAAGCTCTTTGTCTGCGTGTATGGAGACACTAACAAGACTTCACAGAAATGTACTTCTCCTCATGACTTTTCATTTATATGATGCCAACGGTTTTGACTAAGAAGTCTGCATTGTTATAAATGTCTCCCTTGTTGCCAAAAACGCCAGTGATGTGTATCCAAAAGAACCACACCGACCCCATATGATCACAGTGTATCGGATCGCATTCTGTTGTGCTTCCTCCAAAGAAAACAATATGAAAAACCAACACAATTACTGTATGTTTCTGCCATAGCCACCAATGCATCTAGTGTTCGCGTTGTCCGCTACTGCTGCTGGGTGTACAGAAGGTTTATTCATCTTAGCATTCAGTTTCTTTTTTAAGAGTGCATTAAGCAGATATGACACATCCCAGCAGAAGCTATGGAAATGGAGAACTGGATTTTTGCCTTGGTTCTTCATAATGGCACATTAGTTTTCATTCGATCCTTAGAAATGCGTTTAATGAATATTGGACTTTAACAGCCTTCTTACTCCTGAGAAAAGAATAATATCTGTAAATGTGGATAGGAAGAACCTGCTCATGGGCTTTTTATGTTCATTCTCTGCAGTGTTATCAGTTTTACAGGCTATCTATGATGTCATACGCTGGGTATCTCCTGTCAGAGGGAATGCGAAGAATCTGCCATAACTGATCCTGTATGTCTGCAGTAATTTTAGCAACAGTTGCAAGTAGTTTAATCAGAAACTCTATCTTCATCCTAATCAGAAGATTGATTTTCTTCAACAATATGGGTTAAACGTTACAGATCCCTTTTCAAAAGAAACCAAAATCAATTTCACAGAACAAATTTGGTGATTATGCACATTCTTGATATTGATGAGCTGGAATGGCATTCATATTCAAAATTTAAGTTAGTTTTTGATCATGGTGAGGAAGAGGAAAGCAGTTCTGTGGAATCCAGCATTTGATTAAATGAAACCTGTCTAAACAGAAAGTAGCAATTTCGATCAAAAGTGAAGGTTTTTTTGGTCAGTCCTGAACTTTGATCTACACTTACTATTTTAGACAATAACAGAAAAAGGGCAAGTTTAGAAAATTGCTTTCCATAGCTACAATATATTATGAAAAAACTTTTGTCTGAACATACCTTGATATATACTGCAAGTGAAAATAACACTGCTTAGAATATATAAGTTTGTTTAATGACAATTGTCTTACCTACAGTAGCTCCACACCAGTTAGCTAACAGCTTTAAGTGTGTATCACTTCAATCTCAGAGACATCCACAGCAGTGTTGGTGTCATTGATATGACTAACCAATTTTCAGCCTTTTTCAACTATGTATTTCTGTAGGAATGTTTCTTGAGCAAAGAGGCAAGAAATCCAGCATGTTATAACCTCTTGTCTTTGAAGGAGGTTTTACAATACTGATTTAATGAAGCAATGAAATAGCCATATTATGATTCACACATTAATGGTGCTCTGTTTCTATAATCACGATTTACACTGAATTACTAAAGGACTAAGCATATTTTATTTATATGTCTCGATGTATCCAATTACAAAAAATGTTTTTTTTACAAGAAGTATTTCATCACATATTGTAATAATTGCTGACATGATTTTAAAATGATCAAAAGAACAGTACAAGGCATTGCGTAACTATGTGTGTGTGTGAAAGAGAGAGCTATTGAGAGTATGGTCCGCTAAGACAAATTGCTTAATTAAATCTGAAGTATTTAACAGAAATTGTAACTCAGAATACTCAAGGACTCAGCTGCATAAGGGATTTTTTTCGGGAAAAGAACTTTAACCACAAAGAAAGTCTTTATCTCTAAGGGAGGGGAACACTACAGTCCATAATTCTAATGTATCCCAGATAAAATGCATAAGCTAACCAAAAGAATTATTATTTTAAAGTAATTAAAATATCAGTCTTGAATGGGATGCAGTTGATACTGTAATTACAGTAGGAAAACTTGCAGAACATGTTCTGATGATTTTATTAGGCATTTGTTAAGATACAATTTCCTTCTGGAAGTCTGTTCCTACAATTTCTTTTTTGTGAAGATTGCATCACAGGGAGCAAGTTATATACAGTAGACTTTTCACCTCTCTTAATAAAGTAAGAGCAACGATAATAATAGCACTACTAATAGAGACAGAAATAATAAGTAAAAATAAAGGAGACGGGTGAGTGTAAAGGGTAAAATCCCAGTTCTTGGTTCAACTAAGTTGTGTAATTACCAATCTAATTTTCTTATGATTGAAACATTCTCACTGGTATACTGGATTTTGCATGTTTGTTGTGTGATTTTCACGAGGGTCTGTCAGTCTGCCTATTACCTCTGCACAGCACAAATGCAGAACTATCATTGGAAAACACACCGTGTTTTTAGAAATGCATACCTTTACGTTAGTTTAAGTCACAAAGTTTAAAGTTCCTTGCTGCTTAAAAGCAAGATGAAGCTGCATCAGACGTTACAAAGCAAAGATGTGGGGTTTTCTGTCCGCAAAGGGAAACACCCTTTACATGGTAAAAAAGCGAGAGAGAAAATGTCAATTAAATGCTGTGAGTAGCCTGTAAATCTTCAAGTGTACTTGATTACACAAAATGATATACAGTACTACCAACAAACTGCTAATATGAAGCTTTCTCTCAGGACTCTGTTTAGATAACAGTGTTGATTAGTGGTTAGGGCTCTAAAAACTTATCTGGAAGACTGTTGGTTTGAATACTGTGTGGTTAACTGCTATTGTACCCTTGAGCAAGATACTTCTCTCTGATTGCCACTGTAATAATGACCACAAATGCAAGTTGCTGAGGTATCCGAACAGGCTGGCTGGGCCACGCGTACTCCTCTTCTTATATTCTTCAAAGTCTCCAGGCCAAGAAGGTGACCGAGAACAGACAGGGATTTTTTCTGCTGGACCTGTAATAATTCCCTCTGTCTACACTTTAAGGCACTTATTAAAATCTGTATTTAAAGATATTCCTGAAATTGCCTGAGGAAAAAAGAGGCGAGTGGGTTGTGCTGAGGTGTGGATCTGGCGGTCAGAGAATGCTGTTGACCGGAGAAATGTGCTTCTTTCTGGACAGCTTCCCTTTGAACGTAACCCAGTGTCCCACTCTGGGAGTGAGAAATGATAGGCCAGTTACTGTCAGCCCAGGAGCTGGAACAGGGTAATCAGACCGTGAGTGACAGTGTGAAAACATCTGTTGAATGGATTTATAGGGCCTGCCTCAGGATTTCTTTCACACTGTTTATTATGGTTCTGACCTAATGAACTTAATTTGTTGACATGTTCCTCCGAGCGTTTTCGGCTGAGCCTCTCACATGTCTCCCTACTGTGCTGTTTCCGTGGCAACAGCAACTCCTGGAGCACCAACGCGTCCACCAGCTCCGACGGTACCAGGCGCAGGCGGCAACGGCCGTCGTGACGGGATCAGACCAACAACGGCCTGCTTCCCGAGCCCAGGCGTCTCCTGCTGCCTCTCCTCTACTGGGCCTGTCACCTGACCAGACTGTCACACACGCCTCTTCTACTGGTAAGGCTCCCAGGGGGTGTTTCTGACAGGCAGGGCAACCGCTGCATTCAAGAAGGATCTTCTGATTTAAATGCACCGAATACCGCGAATAGCTGCACATTAGATATAACGCTCACTACAGTTCGCATTTTGAAGTTCAGCTGGCACGACCACCTCTTATCGGCTGTTGATAATCCACCCTGAATAATCATAAATTATGGAAGGAACTCGTGGAAGTGTCTTGCAAACAGGTGTTCTTTTTTCCATGTAGAGAATTTCCTAAGGCCAGCCTTTGGGCGGCATGAGCTGAGTATCTTACATTCTTCGCATTATTATTTCTGTAAAAAAAAGCTGCTACAAAATGCTCTGGATGACTGCAGACGTGGGTTTCTGTGTTTCGGGTGTCATGGCGCTTTGGTGATTTCAGTCACAAATGGGCTCTCTTAAAAATGAGTGAATACATATTACTAACCCATTTTTTATTAGTTTTCCTTGGCTTCAGATTTCTCACTTATGTCTGTTCAGTTTGGTTATCTGAACAATTAAGGAGACGAAAGAGAGAATAAAACCCTAAATGGCCTCGTTAATTACCCCATTAATATTAATCAGACTCTGACTGTAATTGTTGTTGGTATCAGTACGGTAATGCTACCTTCTAGCATAAAAACACATAGGATTAACATGAGCAATTAATAAAACTGACTTCACTAGGAATAATCACACCCACAAATTAAGTGTCCTGAAAAGGTTCTGGGGTATTTTAGTCAGAAATCTGGCTTGTCCCGCTTGGCTGATCCAGAGTGAGGAGTGAGCAACAGCAATGTGCAGAGGTGGACATGACGGGGAGGTGGGAGACAAAAGCACAGATACTGTACAAGACAGAGAAGGGGATCACATGCTGTCTGCATAGTGTGAGGAAATGATGTCAGGTTTGATTACGAATTACTGACGACCGGGTCATTGAAATTGGTTGTGGTCATCCCTCTCGAACTTTCGTTATAAACTCATTTATAACTAACTGTAAGTGAGCACCGAATCTTAATTTAGAATGCGAGTCTTAATGGAAGCTTCTGTCTCGGAATCGCAGGGATTGCGTATGATGCTTTAATGCTGAAACACCAGTGCATCTGTGGAAACTACACCGATCACCCTGAGCATGGAGGAAGGATACAGAGCATCTGGTCGCGGCTGCAGGAGACAGGCCTGATCAACTACTGCCAGGTAGAGGAGTTCCTCCCAGGTCCTCCAGTCTTGACATCTGAGTAATTCACTCAGGGGTCAGGGAAAGTGAAGCTCAGAGACTTGCAGGACTTCTAACAATGCCTTGCAAAAGTATTCGGACACTCTCACACATTTCACATTTAGACACTTTAAGGCTTGCAGTCATGACACTTTAAAGCAGCAATTAATGTGTTAAGAATTCAATTTACTCCACACATTCAAAGCAAAGTATTTAGACGTATTCAAGGATAAGTATATAATAAGTATGATTATAAGTATTCCAACTCTTTACTGTGGCTAACCTAAATTATTTAAGGTGCACAAAATTACTTTAAATGGGCTTAGGTGAGTGGCCTCTGTGTTTAATCATTAATAATAGTTCAAATGTGCTATGGCAAATATTCAGCCATGAAGACCAAGGAGATTTCAAAATGGTTAAGGAGTAAATTCATATGAAGGCATAGATCAGGGGGAGGGTATACAGTAAAAACATTTCAGAGACCATTAACATCTCTTTGAGCAAGGTGAAGTCAATCTTCAAGAAGTGGAAGGTACTGAGACACTGAGTAGATCAGGCCAAACTAAACAGCTGGGTTCGGAGGAAAGTGTTTAGGGTTGCCACTGTGCAGCCAATGGGGACTTTGAAAGAGATTCAGAGCTCAGTGGTTGAGATGGGAGAAAAAATCCCCAACAGTATCACAGTTACTCCACAAAGAAAGTTTGTATGGAACTTTAAAAAAAAACATCTCAAATCCCATATGGGGTTTGTAACAAAGCACATAAGTGATACTGCAAACATGTGGCAAAAGGTTTTGTCAGGACAGACAGGACAAAATTAGAACGTTTTGGTCTACATTCAAAGCGTTACATCTGACTCAAAACCAACATAATGCATCACTCAGTCAACACCATCCCTACTGTCAAACACGGGGGTGGCAGAATTATGTTATAGTTCTGCTTCTCATCAGCAGGGACTGGGAAGTTTGTCAAGACTAATGGGAGCAACGTTCTAGTAAATTTTAGAAGAAAACCTGCTTGTGACTACACTGGAATGGCTTAAGAATAAAACAAGTCAATGTCTAAAAAGACTTTAAGGGGCTTGTGGCTTTAATTGCAGCTAACAGTTAGGTGCTTCCACTACATATTGCGTTCAGGGGTCTGAATACTTCTGCGATCAACATAGTCCTTGTTTTACTCTTCAGGGTTTTCCTACATTTACTGTAACATCTTAACCTTAGAAGTCTTCTGTCTGAGCATTCAGGTTCTGAATAAAATATTAAGTTTAAAAAATCATTTTGTATTTGACAAAATGGGACACCATATGAAAGATCTGAATACCTTTGCAGGGCACTTTAAATATTTGGTAACGTACTGTACAGCTGTGTGTACAGCTATGTGCAGTGTGTACTCGCAAAACTTTCAGTACTCTGAGCCAGAACCTAGCTGGGATTTGTTCTTATTCATGTTTGAATCTCTTTTCTTTCCATAGTCAAAAGTGAAGCTGAAAGTTGTGTCAACACCTGTTATATCCATTCTACTGGCAATTTCCTTAAAAGAAAATATTTTCTAAAACTTTACTTTAACAGTAAAGGGAAAAATGGCACATTCACCTGTAAGTTTTACACAGATTACGTAATAGTAATGAATCCATTTTATGTTCATTAAATAGCTGAAGTACATACTTTCATTGAAAACCTCAGAAAACCCATAATTTGAGAGTGAAATAATTTTACCTTGTTCAATAGCTTGACATGTTAATGCTATAGTCTGTTTATTCTTGCTAATGCAAAAGACTGACACTGGTCTTCATACTGCTGTCACTAATACATAGTCCCTACAAAAAAAGGTTTTAAAAATCCCCTGTTATAAGTACAAGGTGGTTGGTCCCCTGGGTCAGTTACTTAAATACTTGGATTAAGTTGTATGATGAAAGAGTGCTCACAAAGTGAGTGGACGCCTATGTGATATAAAGTAAACAGATAAAGGTGTGAAAATGAGAGAATTGTGCATTGAAAAAACACAACATTATAAACTGCATGTACATTAAATATTAATGCTATTTAATGACATATTCCCATTCTATGTTCATCTACCTGTGGAGTCAAACACATCAAAATATGTTTAACTCCACTTCATGAATTAAAAAAATAGTATTGAAATTTCCCAAAATGCCTGGATTTGTTCTTATGCATTTTTTTTCTTCTATCAGCGTGTCCGGGGTCGAAAAGCCAGCCTTGAAGAAATCCAGCTGGTTCACTCAGAGCGTCACTCGTTGTTATACGGCACCAACCCTTTGAACCGGCAGAAGCTGGACACCAAGAAGCTTCTAGGTCTGAGCTGAAATTAAAGTTGTTTTGGATAAAAACATCTGCTAAATACATACTGTACATATATATGATCCATTAGGCTAACACGCAAATATAATGACTCCATATTCATAACAGATTAGATTATGATGGGGCGGTGCAGTGGCCCTGTGACTAAGGATCTGTGCCTGTGGCTGGAAGGTTGCCGGTTTGTATCCCGTGGCTGGCAGAGGAATCCTACTCTGTTGGGCCCCTGAGCAAGGCCCTTAACCCCAACTGCTACAGGTGTGCCATATAAATGGCCGACCCTGCGCTCTGATCCCAAGCTTCTCTCACTGTCTGTGTGTCTCAGGGAGAGCAAGCTGGGGTATGTGAAAAGACAAATTCCTAATACAAGAAATTGTATATGGCTGATAAAGTGATCTTATCTTATCTTATTACAGGCTTCACACCAGATGGTACTCACACCCGAATATTTATGTAACGTCCTTGAGTCATGCATCTCTTTTAGAATTTATTCCAGATCATTACCTTCCACATGAAGTGAACCTGTAATACATGGAGAAGTCATTACTTGAACACTGCTCAATTCATAATGAAGTACTGCAGAGCTTAATAGAATTGATTTAAGTGTTCTAAAGTATTACTAATAATAGAATGTGAGTGTAAAGGCATAGAATAAGACTGGTATATGCCAAAATGAACCTGAAATATAGTATATCTTTGTATATACAGTACAGCAACTTACTATGCATAAGCAATGCTAAATCGACATTGATCAACTATTCAGCAGCTACGTATCCCTTAACTTCTGAATAGTTTGGATACCAAACTAAAGTACGTTTAGGAACAAAAGAAAGGTCCTATCAGTCTTTTCTTTATCACAAACTGAAAGGTTTGCACTCTATTAAAGAGATAAGAAGAGGGAGAGTGAACTATCTCCTTACTCTCAAGGAGGCTGGAGTTTCAGGACAGGCTCCTGGAATGCAGAGTTTGCTTTGGCTGCTTGTGCAGTGAGCATAAACAGATTTGAATAATCCAAGCTGAATGCATCCAGTGTCTTACAAATGATAATAAAAACATACTAGGAAACCACATCCTAGATCATTGGTTTTGAGAATTACACTTCTCGTAATATTATTCCATGATCAGGCACACATATTGAGAATTTTATTGTTTAATTTATTTGTTTAGCTTTAATTTCTGTGGATTATTTAAAAGCTTACAATTACAGTCATTTCATCATCATCACCATAATAGGACTCTGTAATGGACAGGTGTATAGGGTATACAGACCATTTAGACTTGACAATGCCTGAGCTTAACATTAGATGTGTATTATAAACCCCCCGATGAAAACAGGAGCTGCATGTTGAGTTCAGAACGTATGTAGCAAAGGTGACACTATATTAATAAGAGATTTCAATTTTCTGCACACTATTTGGGAAATTGTGATGGGAGATAGAGAAGCTGACAATAATATTGTTGGAATGGTTAACGATTGCTTCCTCCTTGACCCAGCCTTTAAGGCAGGACACATTCAGGTTAGTATTACATTATATTTAGGAAAATCAGACTATGAAGAAAAAAATTAGAAATTACAAGCGGTAAACTGGAAACAGATAAATTCCTACATACTATAGGAAGGTTTATTATACTTTAAAGTTTAAAATTCAGAACAAAATCATCCCCAAACTAAAGAATTTGCACAGAGTAAAATCTAACCTACTGTAAAAGGTTTAATGGAGAAAATCAGAAGGAAGGGAGCGCACTATAGATGCTTTAAAAATGGGGCCAAACATTCAAAGATAGAAAAAGAGTGTACTGAACTACTGACTCAGCTGGAAAAACATATTTGTATTGCCAGGAAAGAGACACAGAAGAATAATTACAAAGTAGGCTGGGACAACTGAAACCTAATAAATCACTGGGGCATGATGATATTTTCACAGCCAAGCGTAAGGAACTGAGGGAGGTCATTCAGAGACCCTTAGGTTCTTTAGCTCTCACTAAGGATGGAAACTGGTAAATCTGGTAACTGGTATATTTGGTTGTAACTGGTAAGCTTATTGGAGTGATTGAGAAAGTTAACCAGAGAAATATTTCTAAAACAACTGGATTTTAAGAGGGGAGATCCTTTTTAACTTAACAGAATTCTTGGAACAAACAACAAAGACATTTAATAGAGGAAAATCACATACTGTAGCATGATATATTTAGACATCCAGAAATCTTTTGATAAGAGCATTCATAAGAACTAAAGTACAGTACTGTATATACAGTAACTGCAAAGCAATCTATGCACATGAGAACTTTAATTAACAGTCAATACTTTTAAAGGGTGACTTCCATTTCTATTTACTTATAGTGGTGTGCTGCAGGGATTCATTTTAGGTCCAATGCTTTCCTCAATAAAATCAACAGTTTGAGATACTTAGCAAACTAGGTTACAGTTGGAAAATGGAATTAATTTATAATGGAGAAAAAGAAAGGTTTCTTTACACGGAGAGTTGAGTATAGTTAGATGGCAAAATTAATTTATCGACTAAACTACCAAACAAATATTTGTTAGGTTTTGCATCGTTAGGAATTGCACATAATACTCGTGCAGTTTCTTATTTTGGAGTAGTATGTGATACCGATAAGCGCATAACAAAAATCAAAAAACAAAAAGTTTTATAAAATTTCGGAGAGCAGACCGTAAAGAAAAGAGCCAGATTTCAAAAGAAGTATAAAGATACTAGTCAGATATGAAATCAGTAGTGAATGGATGGTCACAGTTTAACAATATTCTGCTAGAAGCACAGAAAAGATTCAATCCAAATTAAAAGCTGAGAGTTTGGTCTTCACTATACAGAGTTATTGATGCTTATCGGTCTGGAAAGGTTTACAAAACCCTTTTTATTTGAGGATCCACCAATTCACTGTCAGACACAGAATTCAAAGAGTTCAAGACAACAGTCACTCTAATCAAAGGCAGTTGTCCTACCAACATCTCTCTAAGAACAAAACAGAAAATTATCAAGGGAGTTACAAAGAACCCTGGATTAACATCCAAGGAACTGCAGGCCACTGTCTCACTGGCTAACGGAAATGTTCGTCAGGAAACAGCCGAACAAAAATTTGTACTTCTCTTACTTGTAAGGTTACAGAAATGGTCATTAGAAGGATTAGAAGGGAATCATCTGTGTGACAGTAGGACACTGAGGGATAGTCAGCGTGGATTTAGAAAAGGTAGGTCCTGCTGAATAACTCATCAGAATATTGTTTGAAAGACAATAACAGTAGTATAATATACAAACAGAACGTATGATATGGTACAACCAGATTTTCAGGAGGTTTTGATTAAAGTCCAAATGTATATAAATATAAATTAGGAAACAATAATCCTGAAGAGACAGTTTATGAAGAGTACGTGGGTTTTTATATTAACACATGATTTACATCTTCTAAACAATGTTGAGAAGCAATAACAAAGGCAAACGGAAATTCTCCACTCTTCCCATTAAAATGCCAGCTGTATTAAGAGTAACAAATATAAGCTGCTTTGGATAAAAGTGGAAGCTAAATGATTAAATAAGCTAAGTCAATTAGCAATCAAGTGAGTTATGTGGGTTGAGTGACCTCCTCTTGTTTGCAGTCTTTGTAATGTTCCTAAATGAACCTTTACCGTTAATTTCATAAAAAAGGTAAGTTTAAAATAACACGTTAGAAAGGAAGCAATTCCAATCTAATTTAGAATAGATTTCCTATATATTCAAAGTCAGAAATAACTCTTTCCCCATGTGTGTAACTGAGTTGTGGGTACGTGTCGCTCATCAGTCCCTGGGTGTTACATTATATTAGAGTGGGGAGCTGTGTCAGCATGAGTGTGAGCTGCAAAGGAGCAAGCAGAGGTTAGTTCCGCACTGAGAAGTCAAAAGAAAGAACAACAAGACCAGCGATTCAGCTGTGGTTCCTCTTCAGGTGTGTGAGGGAGGGAAGGGGAGGAAAGAGGAGCAGATGAAGCAGCCGGAGAGAGAGAGCAGGGGGAGCTGAGAAAGAGAGAAACCCAGGAGACGAATTCCAGGAGAACTGTGGGCGGTAGAAATCTGGGAACAAGGGAGAGACTCAGAAGGAAAGGTGTCTGTCTTTCAGAGCCAGCTCGGTGAATGTAAGTTTAAGGCACACACTTGGACTTTCAGCAGTCGTAGTCCTGGAATTCCTGTGTGGGACACAGACCGAAAGGTCAGTGTAATTATGGGCTGAAGAGGTAAAAAGGGGGGACTATCAGCAGAACAGGAAAGAGACCGGCCAACTGTTTTAGGGAACATGTCAGAGCAAAGAGGATCAAAGATCTCTCCAAGACAAAGCATGATTGCTCCTGCTCCAGAAAGCAGTCAGAAATCAAATGTACCTTAAACTGGGTTCACACCTTTCCCCCAGCTCTCAGAGATTAATTTCATTGTCATTTTCTCCATTCACCGATATTCCTGTCCTTCACACGTCCCTTCATTTCAGAACTCATCTGGAATGTTTTTTTCTGTTCTCCTTTCTTTTTGCTTTTGAGCTTTTCCAATCCTTCCATTCATACGGTAATTATCCTCTACTAATGTTTACACTGGGGCACATAACTAGACTGATACAGAAGATTTATGCTGCAGTTAACATATTCCAGTTCATAAACTGCATGTCCTATTTCCTATAATGCTAAGATTCAACTTCGGTTCTTTTTACATTTAGGTTCATCACCCCAGAAAAACTTTACTGTGCTGCCTTGTGGAGGACTGGGGGTAAGTAACAGATAACTAAAGATAAAAAATGTAATTAAGATGTAAGAGGTGGTTGCAGAAATCATTTATTAGCTGGTCTTTATTATAGTAAGTGGAAAGAGACATGTGCTGAAGCGCACTAATATAGAGGGGATGCACATTTGTAATAAAAACTTACAAAATACTGAATGATCGTCCATAATTGTGGGAATCATACTGCTCCACATAATTCTCTCAGAGAAAAGCCCTTGGTTGTGGGAATTTGATTAGAGGCAAACGGAATGTTATTTGCCTATTGAATTTCTTTTATGGCTCGGACTCATACAGATCCTATGACTAAATATAGAAACAGCTCCCCTGCTCCTCCTGACCCTGATCTGCGGAACAAAGAAATTAGCAAAATCTTGAAATCATTTTTCAGCCTTCTTTTTTTTTTGTGTTCGTGCAAGTCTCTTTCAATAGGCAAGAGAACCACAAAAACAGAGAAGAGCAGGCTTTTATGATAATGTCGTCATCATCTCTATGGCTTCAAAAGCTCTGGCTGCGTTTGTTGTCGTTTATTTCTTGGAAGGAGAAGGAGTGAGCAATTCCCTGGACAGGCTTAGCAAAATTGATAACAGATTGCTAGCTCCTTTCTCTACGGCCCAGAGGAGAGAGTTCATATCACATCACTATTGGCAGTCAATATTATTTTTTGACAGGGTCATAAAAGCATAAAAGGGTCTGATGACATTTGTTTAGAAGAGGAATGGGCTTCCTAGCTGTGCAGGGGTTTCTGCGGCTGGATTAGCAAAGTAGCAGAGGGAATATAATTTCTGCAAACAGGATATGATTTTATATAAGTTTGGGTTTCATTCTCTGCCCCGAGGAGAGAGAGAGGCCTTGCAGACATAGAAGGAATTACACCTTCATCATGGACAAGAATTCCGTTTTTATCCCCGAGAAGTATAAACACGGAACAATGTGACAAGATGTCATCTCTTAACATGCCTTGCTTTCCCTGCCAGTTTCCTTCAGTTAAAAGTCCTGGCACAGATTTTGGGATTCGACACCATTGAATCTGAAAGTGGCTTACTCTGCGCACAAGAACTTTGTTAAAGAGGTTCACATTTCTTCAGGAGAATTTTATCAAATTCAAACTTATATTTTCCAGGTCTTAAATATCCAACCGTTTCTCTTGCTTCTCCACAAAGACTAACATACTTAAACTGAGTTAAACTTAGTTTATCAAAGGACTTTTTTTTATTCAAACACAGTATCTAGATTTTAATTGTTGTCATCTGTCCTTTCATAACAATTCAATATTAATGTATTTATTTTGGGCTGCTTGTGTAATCTGAGCGTGTGAGACAAAGATAAGCTGAATTAAAACTGTACACTTAGTAATCAAATAAAAAACAAAACCGTAGCAAACCAGGTTGGTAACAAGAATGCGCTCTCATTATTCAGTGTATCACCTATAACTTCATTTGGGATTTTCCAGAAAATGTGCAAAAAACGTTTGTGTTGCTCACAGACGATGAGTCACTGTTTGACTTTGTGTGGTAGCTGGCTCAATCATCATTTTCTTTGATGGCGACAAGGATTACTATATATTTCTATCCAGCAGCTAAATCTGAGACATCGGCATCGGCAATCCTGTGCACTGCTGGCTCAGCCCAGGGTTTGCACTGTTTTCACTTGGATTACTCTAATACTCGGCGTTCTGCCAGGTGGAGTCTGTTAGCGTTTATAGGTGATTCCCTGGTTCATATAAGATGATCTCATTAATCAAAGCTGCCCAATGACAGGCATTTTCTTCTAGCGTTCAGGAGATCTTGGATCGAGCTATGTTGTCAAGTGCAAGAGTAAAGAGGACAGGCCAGCCCAGATCATTTGGCAAAGGATATAAAAAAAATACAAAAGTAGGACCCTGCTTTCCATAAAACTCTTGCCTCCTTTTGAGACTTACCCACTCTGCACTCATAAATCCCTAGTTCAGGGTGTGTAATTTGAAGAGCTTTTTTTTCTGGATCACTACAGTACAAGTGGAGGAAAAAGACATTTCTTCTCTAGTATTCTGAATGTCTTCCAAACAGAATAGAGGTAAATACAGTAGGTTTCCATATTATCATGTCCTAAAAGAACATGGCTTTAAAGACAGAGCGGATCTCACATTTAGCCCACTATTGGAACAGCTATAGGCTCCAAATTTTGTAAAGCCGTAAAGTAACCATATACATATTTCTACATTTCACATTACTTTGACCTCAGTGAATACAACACAATAGTACTGGGTTTTTTTCAACTCCCTGATGTGTTAAGAATTTGTAGTTTTCAAGAGTGAATAATTTACAAGGTAAATAATTCTGCACCTTTGTAATACGACAGACAATTATGTTCTGCTACGAGTTTTAATACCTAAAACTATAAATAAAATTACAGAACGTACTTATCTTATTTTAAAAACATAACTAAAAGAAAAAAAAAGGCTGCCATGATAGTACATACATAAATGCAGTTGGTATTCTCATGAAATAATTTATTTAAAAATGTATTTATAATATTTGGCCTTCAATAATCATTCTAGTAACAGAACAACAGATGTAAACAAGTTTTGTAGTCAATTTTTAAATTTAAAAATAGGCTGTATTGTTTGTTTGTTTTTTGGTATCTGTCAAATCTTATAGTAAAACTAGCCTTTTCCTTCTTGTGTATCCTGGTTTCAATATCTTTCAAGCTTTCTGTTGCAGAAACAAGGCTAGTACTGTTTGCCAGAAGTCAGAACAGAATAACACAACTGAGCAGATAATGCAATATCAGGAGAAATATGATTGCATGCCACTTGGAGTAAATGCAGAGTGTTAACTAATAATTACTCAAGAAACAATAACTGGTATTTCCCTGCTGGGATCATTGCCCTCATAAGAAAGCCAGAGAGCTGTGGTTACTTTCTTGTCTTCTGTAGGAATTCTGACACATAATCCCTTAGAAACAGCAAACGTGGCACTTTTATTTCTTGAGAAAGATTGTGATTGTCATGTTTTGCAGGAGGACTGGATAGATTTCTGAGCCAACAGTAAAAGAAATTTAAAATGAAAAAAAAATCACAGCTTCAATAAAAGGAAGGGAGGAAATGATTGCTCTTTTGCAAAGTACAAAAAAAAAACGTTAATAAGTTGTGTTATCTCGTGGCCAATCTTCTAGCTCTTCTATGTAATAAAATCTAGCTTCATTTTGGTGGCTATGATGTCTTATGTATACACAGTGATATTGGGATACCTGAGCTGTGATGATTTGCTGAATTTGCTTTCTTAGCAAAGTCTGAAATGCATTTTTTCCCCTTCTGGCAGTTGACGGGGCTTAGCTGTACGCCAAGGTCCCTAGCCCATATCAAATCTACTACTGTGGCTTAGCGTCTACCAGGCCTGTAACTAGACCAGATCCGGCCCATGCGTGTAATGCTGTTTGTAATGAGAAATCTAAACAGGGAATGGCAGCGAGGCATGACAGGAATGTGTTTCCATTGGAGACGTTCTGTGTAAAAAAAAAAAACCTGAAGGAAAGTCGCGTCCAGAAGGCTCACTCAGCTGGGCCAAGACGGAAGACTAATGTTATTGTACATTGGCTGTCACCCTGCCAGCCCTCCCTCACAGATTTGTTTCTCTTTTCTCTCTCCCTCTCCCTCTCCTTCTTCTTCTGCCGACTGTTTGCTCAGGTGGACAGTGACACCATTTGGAACGAGCTCCACTCGCCCAGCGGCGCACGCATGGCCGTGGGCTGTGTCATCGAGCTGGCTTCCAGGGTAGCCTCCCGAGAGCTGAAGGTGAGGTCTGGCGGCAGCGTGTGTGGGAAGGGTGGAGGAAGTGCAGACAAAGAGACCAAAGTGAGCGAAGAAAGAGGGGCCTGCGGGCGCTGGGAGAGCGCAGGGATTGTTGATTTTAAAGTTTAATGATCTGCGGAATGTGTCTCGAAACGGCACAACGCGGAGCGCGTTTCTCTGTCCCACGCCGTCCCACTGTTTCTTCCAGGAATTCTCTTCGTGTGAAGCAGCAGAGTAGCGTCCACGCTGCTGCTGTTTGTTTTCGTCCCCGCGCTCGTGACATCGGTCTAGGGATGGTTTTAAAAGGGGGGAGCGGTTCTAACGGGGTTCGGCGTTACTGTTTTGGGGGGGCAGGACTGCCGCGTTACAGGAAAAATGATTCTGGTGATTAAAAAGGGAACGCAAACCAGCAGAGTGGGCTTGAGTGCTTGAGTCACATGAATCAATTGTTTTGAACACAGAACCCAACCGTAACAGATTTATATTAAATTCTATTGGGTCTAATCACACTTGATTTTGTTGGAGTCCAGGACGCCTTTTGACCTCTTCATTTACATTCTAGTGTAAAGCATTTCCACATACCTACAGTTACCTGCCTTATGCCGTGCAAATAACATAGGAATTTACATTTAGTGCTTCTTCACGCTTAAGCACTTTCAGTTGAATAATCAGGCCCGATCACAAAACAAAGCTATTCTGAATGATTGTTCCATCCCTTGCTGTTTGGCGACTGGATTTCCCTTTAATCAGCTCTGAACCGCTCTGTGGTAGTTGTGCACGTCTGAACTGCATCCGGTAGGAAACAGTGTTGCGATTGCAATGTCTTTGCTTTTGCAGAACGGCTTTGCGATTGTGCGACCCCCCGGCCATCACGCAGAAGAATCTACAGCCATGTAAGTGTCGGTGGCTATTGTCCACCCAAGAGCACCAGCTTCACTCGCAATCACCTGTGCAGCTCCGAGCCTGGCAGGACTCTAATTATTACCAGATGGCAATGGAGGTCTGAAGGAAAGTCTTTCGAGGTACTCCCAGAATCAGATTTATGACCTCGGAAATCATATAGCATTAAAAAGAAGAAAAAACAACCAGAATGTTATTTATGATCATTTTCCTTGCTCTCTTGTTTTCTTATTTTTCTGTTCTTCTCTCTTCCACAGGGGATTCTGCTTTTTTAATTCGGTCGCAATCGCTGCCAAGTACCTGAGGCAAAAGCTCAGTATCAGCCGGATTTTAATCATAGATCTGGTATGTATAACGCTTTGGGTTCAAGAATCTGACTGAATGGCAAGTTACTGTAAATTCAACAAGGCCGAACCGACCAGCGGGGGGATTTTAAAATAAACCTTCAAATCAAAAAGAGTATACATTTCTTTCTATAGCGCTGCATACACTAGCAGGATAATTCTAGTAAAAAATGAAATCAATTAAACATTTAAAAAATCCAAAGGATGTTTCCTGGCTGTATGAATGATCGATAATAAGTATTTAGTACAGCAAAATGTGAAGCTTTACTGTGCTGCTTCATCCTTTCAGTGGAAGGATCCATTTCAATCAAGTTCTGTACAGCAAAACAGCAGTTAAGATTCCAAAATAATAAAACTCTATGTCAAAATGTCATCCATGAACAAAAGTATGAATACATTCTATGCAAAGAACTTAAGAGGTCATCCCTTGTCTTTGCTTTCACAGTTTGAATGACTATAGAGTACACCCTGTAATTGTACCTGTCCTTCACTGCTGGGCCTGTAGATCCTGTGCTTTTTGATTAGTTGGGCTGCTGGAAGTCACATGTTCAGCCGCTAACGTTGATGTTGGGTTGAGCTCAGATGAAAGCAATGGCCAGTCCAATGCCTCCTCTTCAAACAGTGCATGAAGAGCCTGTTTACTGCAGGTCCCCACTGTGCTGTAATGAGGTCTATGTTCTGTAGAAGTCTCCACCCAGCTTGCCGCCAGTCTAGTCAGTGGTGTTTCTCCGTACTGTGATGGTTTTGAATTGCCTTGACTCATGCGAAGGTTTCCAAGTGATCTAACACGTACGTTAGATATGTGTTTGATAATTTGGTAAAGTAAATGTACATAAACCTGTTTAACTGAAATTGGTATATTGCTATGTTGATGTTTAAAATGCATATATCTGCATATGGGTGTCATTGATGTTAAGCTTGCTGCCTTATAGCGTTTGGGTCCTGGGTTCGATTCCCCTGAAGTGCCTTTTGTCCCTCAAAGGGGTAGTATGGGCTTTCACTGGGTGCCAGCTGTGGGAGAGCAGATATGATCATTATTACCAAAAAAGTCATTATTCTGTTATATTTTCTTCATGTTAGAACAAAATAAAACTTTTGAATGCACTGCATGTTCGGGGATTAATGAAGAGAAGAGAGCGGTATTTAGCTGTGGTATGAAGGTCTTGGCCATGAGGCAGTATACTGTAGCTTAACAGGGAGTAACATCAGGGCTTTTCCTGGTCTGCTTTTACAAGTATACAGTGTCAGACGGCTGACAGCTTAGTCATGAGTGTGGGCTCAGTGTGGAAAACCCTGCAGGATGATTGTGGAAGGAAGAAAGTGTGGAGAATTTGTGTCGCCAGAATGCTGACAGGTACATGTGAAGAGCAACTGTATTTTCGAATTCTTGCAACAATCTCATCCCCTTGGAAGCAGGCTTTAACAGAGGCTTTGCCACGGGGGATGAGAGCTTGATTTACCGTCACGGCCCTGAATATGTGTGGCAGTCCACACGGTGAAGAAGCCCTGGCACTCTTGCGCTCCATGATCCAGGGGCTGGAGGTGCCGTCTGCACTGATTCAACAACAGGACCAGGGACAGGAGTCAATCAAATCCTGCTCCGCACCGGGCAGCTGGCAGAGTAACTCTGTTCTGTTTCTCAAATCGATGGGAGACACACTGTACAGTATCTACACAGAATTTAGGAGTGTGTTATTGTGCTGTACGTAAAGCAATTACATAATTAAACATTTTATCATCTGAAGTATCCCAAAGGTATTTCCTAATCGAATAAATACTGACTTTATTCATTTTGAATGCCAGGACAAAACTACTTCTTTTGGTGAGAATCAGGATTAGCAGTTTCTAATAATTACAGCATTAGCTTTTGACATTTCAAAAGCGTACGCAACAATAAGAATACTGTCAGCACTCAATGTATGTTGTTTAGCAGGTCTTTATGATATCTTTGCTGCAGAAACTCTTTATACTATTAATATTCAACCTTTGCTGCTCTGCACAATCATATAATCAAATAAGCCAAATGCATTAATCAATAAGTAAAAAATATCCTGTCCCATATTTTGCTGAAAAGTCTTTTAAAAATCACTTTAAGCTGCATCAGTTCATCAGCAGGCAGTTTTAGTCACTAGAGGAGAACTGCTGAGAAGATATGACCTCAGTCCAGAGCAATCGAGTCGAAGTAAAGATCAGGTTTCACAGGCAGAACTGTTCACTATCACCACTCAGACCTGTGCTGCACTTATCTGAAGCAGGAACTTAAGATAAAATGAATATACAGTATGGTCAGTTTCTACAGATGCCACTGTGCAAACAATATTAGTACATGGTGCACTGAACTCTCACTTACTATGAAATAAAATTACTGCTGATAATATGCAGCAGTTTCAAAGCAGGAACTAGCAGTTTCATTTCCTATGGCTTGCCTATCTCCTTTTTCTAAATGCTTCACATGTGACCTCAGTGGCGCAAGTCCCCAAGGGACCTGATCCTTAGTGCAATCGCATGAGATATTAAAATTCAATCCACAGGTTCTCCTTGACCCTTGTGTGAAATTGCCATCCCACCAGGGAAAGCTTCAAGTAAACCTTTTAACTTTTTACAATTCAGTTAAAAAGACCCACTTGGCAGACATCAATGGGTATCAAAGTATTCTATGATCATCCGTCATCAAAGCTGGAACGTTTCTCCATAAATAACGCCAGAACAAGGTGTGGAGCAACATTTTCTATATCAGTGTCTCGGGCACAAATGCCTCATTTCCTTTGCTAATTATCATAGAATCAGCCCTGTATAAAAGATAGTTTGGAACCATTACACAATACCTTGAAAAAGTATTCACCCCCTACCAGCTCTCACCCTTTGAATTGAATTATTCATACAGTTAATCAAAACTTGACTGCCGAACCTGAACACTTTGATGGGTGAATGGAGTTTCATGTCATCAAAACTACAAGGAAAAATCAAAAACTAAAAAGGGCTGATTGCATAAGGGCCCATCCCACTTTGTTACGGCAAACAAATTCGTTTGAGTTCACACAGAGCCTCCAAAGCAACTCAGGGATAAAGTTGTAGAAAGACACAGGTTACAGCAAGGATATAAAAATCATCATTCATCAATCATTAATACTTTCATTAAGAGCTTAGTGGATGAAATGTTAGAAATGGGAGAATCCATGAATCGGCAATATTGCAGTGACTCCTCAACTCCAGCTTGGAGTCTGCAGCAGAGCGTTTAAGTGACGCTGCAAACAGGTGGCAAGGGGTTTGGTGTTCAGATGCAGAGGGTAGCATCTGGCAATAACACAACTGAGCGCAGCGCCCAGGCAACATCATTCATATCTGTCGTCGGGCATGGTAGTGGCAGCCATATGTTATAAGGGTGCTAATCACGAGCAGGGACCAGAGTGCTTGTCAAGACTGAGAGGAAAACGGATCCAGCAAATTGCAAACAAATCTCAGGGGAAAACCTGCTTCAGTCCTAGAATTGGGGTGAATATTCACCTTTCTACAGGAGTGGCTTGGGATTAAGGAAGAAAACATCCTTGGCTGGCACAGTCACAGTTCTGACTCGAATCCGATGGGAAGTCTGTGTCAAGCCTTGAAAACTGCTGTCCATCCACAATCCCCAATCAACAGAGCAAAAGAGGAGTGAATCGAATAGCGAGTTTAATTGGAGTAACTCACCTGGCAAGAGCAAACAAACAAACAACAACTGTAAGGATGAGGCTGTCTGAACCTCCTGCAGCCTTCTTAATGAGGGATGAGCCAGGAAGCTACCGTAGGGGTGAAGATGGGGCGGATGGAGGAATGGGAAAACAAAATGTGCGAGGAGAGGGCAAGCAACGTGGTATTTAATGTATATACAGGTAGGTGGGTGAGATTAGTGTTGGCCTTCTTCACAAATTTTGTTTTAAACTCCATGAGGTAGAAACTCCATCATTCTGGTGTGCATAGTTGGTAAGGACTTATTTGTAGCTGTAAGTCTGCCTATAAAGTGCTTCTGCAAAGTATTAACCTTAAATTTGTCATTTTTCCTTGCAAGTTTTGCTGACCTTTAGCTCCTTTCACCTAAAGAAGTGTTCGGTCTGAGCATTCATTTTAATCAAAAATCTACTTTAAAGAATGTGCCTAAAACATGGAATTCAGCCAGATAGAACATTATTGAAAGGAGCTGAATACCTCTGCAAGTCAGTGTATGCATGATCTCATAAATTTTTTGTAATGTTAGTAAAATTGTACTGACATGATTTTTGTTCATTGAGTTGCATAGTTTCCTCACTTCCAAATTACTTCCAAATTCATTTGTTTTTTTCCCTCAGAGGTTGAGTCTTTGGAAAAGTGTGATCAGGGACCAGGGTACTGAAACAGCACACACTTGAAACAGTGCTCAGCTTCAGAAGGCATATGCAAAGCCTCGTGCATTCAGGGTCAGGCTGTACATGAGCTGGAATAATGAGGTGGGCAGCTCTTACTAAATCTCTACTGTTTAAACTGTTCACAGACTTTGTTTTTCATTGACACCTGAGGAAACTTGCATATTGATTTATGGGTACAACCTTTATTTTACCAACGGTTCTGGAGGAGGTGTAATAGGTTGTCTGACAAAGCGTAGACAGGAAATGAACCCTGGCATCAAACTCTAATCAGTTACATCTGGAGCCAATTATTTATTTTTTCGGCAAGTGATAAAAGATTTAGAGACTAGTGTGATACAATTTCTCAGGGAACACATGATGGCATAATAAAGGCTATAATCAAACTGTATCCTGCTGTTCAAGGCCCAACAGCTGATGTACTTAAACTCAAGCTCTTTCCAGCACAGATGACGTACAGAGAAAAGTAAACTCGAAGGAGCTCTATGGAAGAATGTTGCTAATAATGCTGAGACGAACAGGTTAGAGGTACCTTGTTAATCCCTTTTTTTAAACCTTCTGTGTAGAACATGAAGTAGAATGGAAAACAAAGACCACTTTACATCACTTTTGTTTTAAATCCACACTTACCAAACTGATTTGGTTCATTTATCAGGTAAGTCAATTGAAAACACACTTTCATTTAGAGCGACAATCTTGAGCCCTGTTTATACAGCAGGGCACTTCGTGGAGTGCCTTGAGTGAAGTGCCTGCGGCTCAGGGGTTATTTTTTATGTTTGGACGCTGCAGATTCGAAAATACCTAGCTGGGGTACGTACAGTATGAATGCAGTGTTGGTCCTGAAAGGTGCTATTTCAAAAGACCTCATTTACTTTAGTAGTTTCAGTAATTACACTAATGCTTTTCCCATCAATGGATGTCCTTCCACTCCTGCATTTAGCCCGCATCCGAGTCCTCTCAGTTCCTCGCCCGACAGAGCTGCACTGCAGAGTCCAGGGGGTGGTCTCTCAGTGTTATGAGCAACCAGACGGCCCTCAGCAGATCTTCCTCCTCCAGTGTTCAGCGGTGTAAAAGCACTGGCAAACAGGACACCAGCTTCCCCAGGGCAAGGTGCCTGGGGAAGTTACGCTGGGCGTCTTCTGCTAAGAAAGCACCTGTTGCACATCAGTACTCAATCACTTGGTGTTATTTAGGCAAAGCTCAGAACATAAAAAATAAGATGGAAACCATTCATGCATCCACCTATCCATCCAACCATTCTTTTGCATCCAACTCAGGGATCGTGGGGGAACCTGAGCCTAAGCTGGCAAGAAAAGGGCACAGGGACAGGTACATCCCCGGATGAGAAGCCAGTCCATCGTGGGGCAGACAGACACAGATGCGCACACACTCACACTCACACCAGGGCCTGTTTTCCCTAAATCCCAATTAACCTACTGTACCAGGTCTAGAATTGACCCCAGGGCTCCAGTCTGCAAGGCAATTCTAAAATGTCACAAGGCTCTATCAGAGGTCCCGTCACGCTGCAGGGGGCACAGGGTACCTGTAGCGCAGGTTAGAGAAGTAGTCGTCATGGCTGCTGCCCACCCACCTTGCTTCCACAGAGAGAGCATGTCAGTGTGCAGTCAGAAAGGCAGGGTCTGCCCTGTGACACATTGCTGTGTCCTGGGCACTGCTGTTTATTTTGAGGGGAGCTGGTTTCATAAAACACAGTTTTTATTTAAACAAATGAATAGAAACTAAATTACTATGAAATCGCTATAAAACTATAATAACACTATAAAATCTAAACATAAATAAGTAAGTTTACAAAGACTTCTGAGAGCTCATAAAAAAAGCCTGGGTTTGGTTGCGTTTGCTGACTGAATGAGTTTGCGACAGTGGTTTCTTGTCTGAGCCAAATCAGTTCTGGGAAAATAAGCTCACTGCCTACAATCCTACACGTCTTCACACACAGAAGGGACATTTCTTTGTTTTCATTTTGAAATCTCCACTTCATCAAATGGGCATTTTTTAGTAATTTTAATACATACACTACTCACACTTTGCTATAATTAAAATGAAAGGATATATGGTATAATACAGTATTTTATAATTTTAGATATGTGATACACATTTTTTAGATTCTGAAAAAGGTCATGGGAATCCAAGGTAATATATAGTATGCACATTGCTTGAGAACTTCTAACAAACAGAAAACAGTGTGTCTTGTCTCATCTGTGTGCACAGGTGTACTGCAGGAATCTGTATTAGGTCCATTGCTCTTGCTGATCACTGAATAGATTCTACCACAGAATTGTGGTAGAAATTTGCAGATGATGACCAGACAGGTTGAAAACTCAGAAATACATTGCAGACGTACTTCCATAAATTGCTTTTAACTGTTTTTATATTTTATCAGACAAAAAAATGGTTCTATAGGAGACACATTATCTTTGAAGTGCATTGCTGCAGACCTTTTAAATCACGCAATATGCAAACCTATTTGAGGTGCCAGGCTGTGTTATATCAATTTTTTTATTTGAATTGCTTTGCCCATTTTTATTTTGACCACGCAGTAAATTAAACACATAATCGACATCATCAGTATAGCTTGAATGTGACATATGTATTTAAGTAGATATCTGTCATTGAAATCCTGGAGTTTTGGCCGATCACAAAGGATGTGCAAATAGTCATTAAATAACAATTTGGAAAGAGCGAAGCTCGGCATTGTGTTCCATTTACAATGCCTGATCAGGATGGTTAAAGTACTGAATGTTGATAATGGCTTGCATTAGGACCAGTCAGGTGATTTGTACAAGGCATAAGTCATATTAACAAGACTCTCACACAAACTTGCACTTCATTCAATTACAGTATTCATGGATCTCTACTGGTCTTCTTCTAGTAACCCAATCATGTATGCTTTTATTAATACTGTAGTTTAAAATTATGATAGCAGCAGAAAACTCTTTTTTAACAATGTTGAATAAGTGACAAACTATCTATTGACTCCACTCACTACAATTTAAATGAGGAAGCTGTGAGTCTTTCATGTCCCCATAAATGGAGTTTTGTAGATTACAGTTTGTATTTCAGACTTTTTAACAATAACACTCCCTATTATGGTGCTGGTAATTAATGTTTTACACATAATTAATCCATTATTCCATTTATAAAAATACTTTATTCATTGATAAATCATTTTTAAAATAAATTATTGTGGTTCAGTTACAAAACCTGGTAATAACAGTTTTCTGTTACTACAATATCTGCATATACTGTACCTCCCTAACTTTTACAACGATTGCTTTCTACTCACAGTCTCAATAATGCTACAGAAACCCAAGAGACTCCAGTAAGACCTGTAGTGTTTCATGTAGGAGAATTATGTCAATATTATGTGCTACAGTGCTGTGGGAACCTAGACATATATATACATACTTATAATTAGATGTAGAATATTCAGACATACTGTATACATACAGTACTTATTTAAGCAGCAGTGTTACATGAAAAACAACTGCATTTGCAACCTTAGAACAACAATAAATATTTTATTTAAAAGGGCTTTTTAAAAAACTGAGTGTTGTAAAATAGTGTGTGTATGCTGGTCTTTAGCAGAGTGAGAAGACCTGAATTAAGATAACGTACAGACAGACCAATGGTCTTATAAGTGAGCTGGACAACCTTAGTCCACTATAATTTTCATTGGAAGCCAGTGCGGTTTGGACTGTCTGGACAATTCTGGACAAACTGAAGTTTATTTAGTACCTTACAAAATACTCCAGTATGTTATGTGTTACAGTAGTCTAATCTTAAAAAAAGCAGCACTAGTTCAGCGTCAGAAAAGCACGGCAACAGTCTTAAATCAGTAATGTTTCTTGTGATATCCCTAACATCACCTTAACATAACATGGGCAGGCCAAAAGTAACACCAAGGTTTTTAACTTCCATAATACAGTACATTTGATATCAGAACCATCAACACACAGCACCGAAGTCACCAACTTTGTAAACTGTGCTGTAAGCACAGCCTCAATCTGGATACATTCAGCTGAAGAAAATTCTGTTGCATCCATAACTTTATGTCAGACACCTGTAAAGTGCAAAAGCTGCAGCAGTTATATCTAATTTGGTCTGCAAGTAAATCTATGAAGGTGGAAGTCTGTAGATACTGACAATTGTAATTCTCCTTGTAACCGCTTATTAATCTCTGCAACTGCTGACAGTTGCTATTTATGCAAAAACGACCCAATCTGCCCCTGCTGGGTATTAAATTTTATACATTGCAAAATATGTTCAGTTCAGCTTTTCTTTTTCGTTTTGGCCAAATTAAACATTTGCATTTCTTTGGGGGCCAAGAAAGCAAAGTTAATTGAGCCTGAGGGGTTATGAACTGTTGGCAGTTAATAAGTCATAAAATTCCACCATAAAACAGGATGCTAGATTCCATCACTAGGACCCATAGTACAAAGAAGTGGTGTATAAATATATAATTGTAGAAGAAAGGACTGGGATTTCTCAATGACTGCTCATCTGGAGTCTCCAGGGCATGTTCACTGCGGTTTCCTGATTTTTAGAAGCCCGTTTAAAAAATGAGCGCATTAAGGAGTAATTTGCCCGAGAAGCATTCAGGAAGTGTCAGCGGGGGGGTAAGGCAGAGGGTTTTGGGCGGCTGGGGGTTGGGAAGCGGAGAGGGTAGGTCGAAAATAAGAGAAGGCTGGATCAAGCAAGGTTTTAGACTCTGCTAAATGTTGCTGTATGTGTCATGTGTCTCCTCTGTCCTTTAGGACGTTCACCATGGCAACGGAACACAGCAGGCCTTCTTCAGTGACCCGAGTGTCCTCTACATCTCCCTCCACCGCTACGATGAAGGGAACTTCTTCCCGGGCAGCGGAGCCCCTGACGAGGTGCGTCTTCGGTTTCACTCTCAGAACTCCCTCTACCCCAGCCTCCTGCTGAAATTGCATTCCATGATTAGTTCTTATTTTCTCAGCCCTTTTCTGGTGCAGTTAAACAGCACCCGATTACTGAAATTGCCCTGTGGGGCCAAACCACCCCCCCCCCCCACACACACACACACGCAGACACACACTCTACCGCTGAACAGAACAAGTGCAGAGCCCAGAGCTTGTGAAGTCTGGAGGAGAGATCGCGTGACACTTTGTTTGATGATTGCTGCCAAAAGCAGAACGATCTGATGTTGTTTTTTGCCCTGGTGTTCCCCTGTTTTGCAGTGTGGAAGTGGCCCTGGTGAAGGCTATAATGTAAATATTGCTTGGACAGGTGGCCTGGATCCACCCATGGGAGATGTTGAGTACCTCATGGCCTTCAGGTTCGTACATTTGCTACGGATTGTGTGACTAAGGCAAATAACGTAGCATAAAGACCACAAATAGCACTAATGGACTGAGACAGACTTCTGCCTGTGTAGCTGGTCATCCCCAGAAGCATTTCCAGCCAGACTCTGGTGGAGCCGAGCAAAACAAACTTCAAAGTCTCCAGATTTTTTTTTACTTCCACCCATATAAAATTGCTTGGGAATACAATATGGAGAACATCACTGTTTTGTTTTGTTTTTTTGCACTTCCTAAAAGGATTTAGTTTAAGAATAAATTCTCAGTTCATGAGTGGCATGGTGGCACCGTACAGTTTCACAGCGTTGGGGCCCTGGCGTGCTCTCTGCCTGGACTTTGCGTGTTCTCCCCATGTTTACATGGGTTTCCTCCGGGTGCTGCAGTTTCCCCCCATAGTCCACAGACATGCTGGTGGGATCATTGGCTTCTGGGAAAATTGGCTCTAGTGTGAACGTGTCTCTGTCTGTCTGCCCTGTGAAGGACTGGTGTCCTGTCCAGGGTGTACCCTGCCTTGTGCCTGTTGCATGCTGGGATAGGGACCAGCGTCCCCACGATCCCACGCTGCATAAAGTGGTTAAGGAAAAGATGGACAGCTACACAATGATGTGGTCTAGCTATTCCCCGACACCAGTATGTATATTATAAATGTCCACAGCCGACAATCCTAGAACCATTTACAAATGATAATTGCTGCTCTTCCAAAACAACACCCTCAAAAAAAAGTGCTGGTCACAGGGTTACAACTGATCAGCTCGCAAATCAGGAGACAGGCCTTTGGCATGCCATAGTCATTTTGCTTGTCAACGCTCTGAAAATGGCCCTTGATAGTCGGCTGTAAACACCTCTTTGAGATCTGGATGTACTCCTCAGCACTTACACTGCATGTGGCCAGTTGTGGAGGGCTCTTCAGCGAGATGCGTCACCATTGTGACGTCATAGGGAGGGTGATGCAACACTCCAGTCCCCTGCTGAGGGTTATCAAGAGGGTGACATCACTTTGAGAGATCAGGAGCCATGCCTTTGGCACAAAGGGGGAAATAAAATGAGTTGACAGAAAAATTAAAAATTAAGCAAATTACAAAATATAATTTTATTTAAATTAATACATTTTATTTGAACCATTTTATGTAAGAGATTGGAAATATTAAACACATTTAATTTATTAAAGATTTATTTCAACCAGTTTAAAAAGATGCATTGAAGATGTATGGAAACCAAAGCTTCTGTTAGTGTTTCTGTCGAAGTTCCATGAATAAACATTTCCACATCTTTTGTTGCAATGTTTACAGGAGATTAGGTGCCTTCAGCCTGAAGTACTGTGGTTCTGTATGGTTTTTGTCAATAATCATGTCACTCCTTGAAAGAAAGATGACCTTCTCTGGATGTAAACTGTGTCATAAGATCATAAAACATGAAACCTTCACCTTTTCACAGACTTAAACAGTAATAATGCATTTATTTTGAAAGCGTGACATCTGATAATTGATTCATCGGTACATCAGACCCTGAATTTAGAGCTCCATATTGTTGAATAAACAATGTTTACCTGATAATGAGTTTTGTGCAAAGTAAGTTCCGATACTCCTGCTGGCTTTGTTCACATCTACATGAAATAATGAACAGATAAATGTGATCAGACCTGTAGAGTTAAGTAACACAAAAACCGCTGCCACACACATATTTAAACTTACTCCCATTAAAGCTATTTGCAGAAAAATGTAACAAGCTAGGCAATGTCATGAAAATAAAATTTATGCTAAACATAAGAAAATGATATACTATAAGTGTTTATCAAAAACTGCTTCATTATGGGTAGCTGTTATTGGTGTCTTAAGTATTTTTTATTTTCTAAAAAATCATGTAATGTTTATTAACCACTTCTTAGAGACCAGGCAAATTTTAGGAAGAATGGTAATGACCGTTACAGTATATTAAGGTGTAAGTTGTTAATTACAGATATATAGATACATACAATGCTAATAATAATCTATAACCCAAAGGCATGACAGTTTAATTTTGTTAAAAACACCTGTGCCTATTATGTCAGCAGGAGCAAGTCAGCCCCTTATACAGCCAAAGTGCGATATGAAGAATAAACACGTTTAATCGACCATGTGGTGTACAGACCAATTTGGATATCCTTCAAATAACTTGTATATGTGATTCAAATTAGTTTTTTTTTTAAATAAAGCACTGCTTTGTTTTCACATCGTGCACTTTGAAATTATACAGCCGAAGACAAAAAAAAAATACAAATGCTAACAGAAGCCTCTAGTGTAAACTCCCGTTCCAAAGAAGTATTCCCTGACAAACAAAATAACGGCTCATATATTGGACCTTAGAGGCCTGGGGCTAAGAATGGAAAAATTATTTACAAAAGCACGAAAATATTTAATCACTAGAGGCAGGGGGCAACAGTGTTTTAATTAACAGGTCCTCAGGCCCTTGGCTGGCTGCAGGCTTTCTCAAACAACCACAAACTCTGACGAGCTGCCTGCCAGCCTCAGGGCCAGACTTGAGATGAAACAGATAAGATAATTGGTTCTAATGAAATCCAGAAGGCCTCGTCGTTGTTTTCTCTTTTTTTTTTTTTGAGCTTGGATTTGAAGAGTGCGTGTGGAAGTGAGCCTTAATTCAAACCAGGACTGCACCGGTCCCAGTCTCCGTGACTTTGATATTGTTTGAAGTTCTCAAAGTGTTCGCCACACCACGGGCCTGCTGGGCTGGGTCTCCCTGGTTACCTTAATTACCAGGCTTTATTGCTGACTTTACTGCACAGGAAAGGAGCCATTATGTGTTCTATCGAAATTCAGCTCTTTTTGGACCAGGGGTAAAGGTCATCCGAGGGAGCCAAAAAAGTTTCACTTTGAGACTTTCAAGGCATCTACAAAACGTCATAGTGGCAGAAAAATGCTAGATCTCAGGCTTTGTATTTCTGAGTTCCTGCTTTACCTAACCCTTCGAAAATGATTACAGGAAAGTAACATCCATTTTACATAGAGATGGTGTTTTTTTTTTAAATAAGTTTTAAATGATAATATTTTTAATTGATTTACATGCCTCATATCATTTCCATGCATGTCAGGGCAACACTAGCCTGCTCTTGGCAGGACTACGGGCAATGAATAAAGGCTTTGAACCTTTTAAAGGGAGCTGGGCCAGGCTACTGTTGCTTTCATTTAGACTGATGTGTTTGTTTATTTTCATTGATGACTTGTGTGAATCAGAACTGTTGTTTTTTCGCTGGTGCACATTTCTCCACTGCGCACAAAGATGAAGACTGAGAATGTCATGCATGTGTGCTTGCGAGGGAGCGCTTCATTAAAGATGCGTCCTGGTCTCTTTCTTGAAAAGGCGGCCGCAGCTCACATACATCTGTCGCTGGAAAGACAGCGGTAGCTCAGGCTCTGCGGAGCTGTCCTGCTCTTGTGCCTGTGTTCTGCCGGTAACAGGCAGGAGCTTCACCGCCATGAACCCTGACATGTCAGACGTCAGAAGCTCAGCAAGGCTGGGCCTGCTCAGTACTGAGACGGACCTCTAGAGAGAACCAGCGTGCCGCTGCAAGCGGTGCTTGGATGACCAGTAGGTGGTGCTCTTCCCTCTGCACCAGAATTTCCAAATGAATGCCCCAGCGTAAACACTCTGGGCTGTACAAGACATCATCCTTCAGACGAGACGAGAAATCGTCCTGAATCGAAGATTAGAACAGTTACAACCGAGAGGAGGCCATTCGGCCTGTCTAGCTCATTTGGTAGTTAGTAGCTTATTGATCCCTGTTTTTGAAAGAAGCCAAGAAATCAGCTTCAGTGACATGGATGGGTAGCTTGTTCCATAATCCCACAGTAATGATTACATGGTTTTTAAAGACCCCTGAGCAGTTTTTGCAAGGGGGTGTTAAATTCCACGTCTATCTGTCCAATTAAATTTATCCCTTAAGTAAACTGGTGGAGCGACTCCTCACTCCTCCAGCTGATGTGCTGTACAGTGAGGCTGCTGCTGCTGCTTTATAATCAGATGAGGTGGCCGGGCAGCACCCAGGTGGGGGCTGCAGTTCAGAGGAGGGTGTAATGGATCTCTGTCTTGCCTGATGACGATTGTGCTAACATAGACTTCCTGCTCTTTTTTCTGTTTTATGAATAGGTCTGTTCTGCTTATACACAATATTCTTATACTATAATGTTTTGCATTAGTATATCCACTACTGGTAATGGAAAAATCATTCTTGTTTCCAAAATTAAGTTATACTGAATTAAACATTACATTAATTAATTAACTAACGTTACATTAATAGATCGACAGGTGAAGTAAGAGAATATTAAGGGAAAGATCTTTTGCACTCAGATAGGATTGGGAGTTTTAATCTTGGCCAATAAATGTCTTGAGGAAACCATATTGCTGTAGAAAGCGAAGTTTTCTTCAAGAAAATACAGTACCCTTTCCTGGAATAAATATAAAAAATTAAAAACCATAGATACAAGTTTTTATCTGACTTTTGAAAATTCTTCTTAGCCTTTTTTTTAATACCTCCTTCTTCAAGTCTGAATAGTGGTCATCTTTAATCTTTTTATGCACTTGGAACACACAGTCTAGTAATAATAATATTAAATACCAGTGCATTACATTGTCATAATCTTCCTGGCCTTCTGAAAATTTATGGACATACAACAATATTTGCTGTGAAAGTCTATGAATACAAAAATGTTATTTCCAACTTATTATTTTCCACTGTATGTAGACATTCATGCATTTATGTCATACAATGCATTTTGATTTGAGAGAGAAAGAAGCTTTAAATCACATGAAACTCAGCTGTCCCATTCAACCTAAACACCATTTTTTCACAGAAGTTCATTTTCATGGTTCTAAATCTTGGCATGGCCTCCTACCTCATAATTTTACAGTTATTTCTCGCTGATGTGCTTGTGTAATTAGGGATTCGTTCTGCCTCTGTGTTTTGCGTCTGAATTATTTGCATTAAATTACCACCCACAAAATTTTATGGTAACTTAGAGCCTCAGAGATTGAGCCTTTGTTATTTTATTGCAGGAACACAATTCTGTTGGAGTCTCAATTTTCTGTGTAAAAGAAAATCCTAGAGCTGAGCTCAGGAGTCTCAAAAAGTCTGGATGATATCAGGTCTCAGTTTCATTCTTGGTGACACCTGCTGAATAAGAATATAAAAACTATGTTACTAAACAACTAATAACATGCAGTAACTAATATGTAAACAGCCTTATTAAAAATGCTGAATATAAACACACGTCTCTCAATCTAAATACGTTATTTATGCAACATCAGCAAACATTCTCTTAAATCTTTCATTTTCATTTAAAAGTGAAAATCACAAAGCATGGTGATAAGGGTTATACATTTTCATAGTAAAAATATCTTGACTGAATTTGAAGAAGAGAAACCATCATTCTCACATTTCTTAAAATGTATTACAGACAGACAATACTTCTATATAATGCAAAAATGCTGAAATGCAAATGTGCATATTTTTTTTTCATGGAAATTAAAATATTTTAATACTTCTCTGGATGTCCGAATTCCACCTGTCCCCCTCCACCAAATGAATAGCAGCATTCCATCTCTGTAACCATGTGTTGGTTATACAAGTACAGTATAACAACATCACAAAGGCTGAAGATGTACAGTGTTTCCAATACAGCCTTTATTTGAATTTTCTTTAAATTAGGAATTGCCAATTCATTTCCCGGTTTGGATTTGGCAATCGTCCTTCTGCATATTCCCCCTACAATCCCTGTGCAGGACAGGGAGGGTGAGGAACTGTGTACGTTGTCTACCTGCATGGCCTCCTACAGATCTCCTACCGGAGACTTAGCACTGAACTGCTGAGCCGGGTCTCACACTGACTTCACAGTGAAGCGACCCAAACGTCTTCTAAAGCTGTTAAAGTAATCAAGTGAACTAAAGGATCCTGTTGGATACCCTCCCTAGCACTAACCCTCCTGACATGTGAAGCGATGAACGAGTTTTACACCCTGGTTCATGTGAACAGCTAGGCGTGACTCCATGTTGGATTCATTCAGTGTGCACTAAATCATACACCAAGTCACTTGTCGAAAATGAAGAATGACAGTAATTTCTGCTTTCTGTTTGGCTTTGAGGATGAGGGCTAGTGGAAGATGGAATGTAGTTTTTTTTTAATACTCGTGGTCTACTTTGTTTTTGAAAGGAAAAAAATAATTTACTGAATAATCAAATGTGAGGAATGTAGCCCTTAACTGCCTCGCACGCAATCGAAAACTATACACGATGAAAACATGGTCCTGAACACTTTTAGCTCTCAATGTGCACAGATATACAACGTTCAAGCTTCACTTTGTACTGTTTTGTTCAGATCACATGACACAACGGATAAAAAGAACTGAATGTTCTATATGCAAAAAAAACATGACTTATTTTGTCTCATAGGAGACAGTTGCATTTTCCCACACTGTACCCATGCTAGAAGGAGTCTTGCCCTTAGAGAGTTAATGTACTGTAACACAGGAAAAAAGTTGTAATTGTCATGGTACTTCACTGTAATGGGCACTTCACGCAGCAGTACTAAATGCCTAATTACAGCAATTTTGGTGCAGACCACACTAGCGTGTGTTCTCCTTTCACACTGGACTGGAATCTGTAGAATCATTAGTACTAGACTGTTGAGTACAAAAACAGCATAACATTGGGCTATGGCTAGATCGGTATGCATGCCAACTGACTGCGGCACTTTAATTAATCTGTACATTTGCAGCACTGGAGCTTAGCTGCACTCATAGATAGTTGGGAACGTTCATTAAAAACAAAGGAATCGCCACTTGTCTAACCCAGGTATAACCCAGGGCTGCATAATTATACTGTCTGGAGGCACAGCAAGTGTCCTGCATAATAAGCCCTCACTAACTCCAAGATTTAAAGACTCTTTCGCAAACCTTTAATCCTGCACCTCCTTACAAATCAAGTTTTATGTTATAAGGATTATGTAACAGAGCCTGAGAGTGAGCGGATCCGGAGGAATGCAACAGTAAAAAGGAAGGAGAGAGGACAGAGTTGGAAGCCTAGTGAGTCACACCAATAAAAGTCCCGAACTGAAGCATGTTTGTGATTTTCGTCTGGGGGGGGCGGTCCAGTGCTTTGTCAGAGAAGCTTGTCAGCTCCTTTCCTTTGCCATGCGAGCGCTGCTCGTGCCAGCACAGCCCTGTTCGTTCTGCTTTGCCATTGAAAGCCCTGTATGAATTCCTCCCCAGGACTGTTATCATCCCCATTGCCAATGAGTTCAGCCCCGACGTGGTCCTGGTGTCCGCCGGGTTCGATGCCGTGGAAGGCCACGACCCCCTGCTGGGCGGGTACACGGTCACAGCCAGATGTAAGTCCCTTCCTCTTGCTGCTCGCTCACCTCGCTCACCTGGCCTGCGGGACCCCGGCGGGAGCTGGGGACCAGACTGCAGCTCGAAGGGTTAAAACAGAACATCTGCTCTAAACTAAACTGCAGATTTTTTTTTTCTGAAAATATAGAGCAGCTGGAAATATGAAGGGAATTCGGGGGTTGTCTATTGCCGACATACAGTGAAATACAATAAGCTTACAGTTGCAAAATTACAACCATTTCTGTATATTGGCATGTAACACTCATTATTTTATTTTTTTGTCATTTACGTGCTCTTACGTATCAGGAAATATATCATTATTCCTTTACATGACAGCTTCATAATCAATAATGAAGATTCTATTTTGCAATTTACTGTTGTCTTTTATGTCAAATGTATTCCAGATGAGCACTTTATGCTTCCAGATTCTATTGATATTTGATATGAAAATCAATTCATGTACACACACGAGTGCACGCACACTCCTTATTTAGAGCTTTTCCACCCTCCTTTGTCATTGATATGAAGAGCGCGTGTGTCCATCACCGAAGGCAGGGAGCCCTTACCTTCTTAACAATGGTACTGCAGTGGAACTGAGAGACATATCCTACTCTGCAGCATTGTTATGCTCTGACAGGATAATAACTGATAAGGAATAGATCCATAGGAAACATGTCACGTAAGAAAACTGGTACTCCTGCACAGATTTGTGGCTCCCTACCAAAGCATTAAAGGTCGGATGGACTTTTCCTGCTATTTTTTGCAAAACAAACACTTCTTATCTGTAACAGTATTCTCACATAAGATTTCACGACCATGGACTTCAAAAGCTTGCCACAGGGAAGGGCAGAGAGGCAATAGCCCTAAGTGGCAGCTCACTATCTCACCAGGGACAGACAGAGAGAAGGTGAGGCGTCTGTGCTGTTTGTTGCTGTGTGTTTTAGCCACATGGGGTGATTAGTGACCATCTGTTTTTCGGTCTGCTAAGCTCAGTATTTTTTCTCTCAAAATGCCATGATGCCTCGTACCCTTAAAGACAAACTAATGTTTAACCCCAGGGAGCTGGCCACTGCCATAATGATCATTTGAGGATTTCATTACCTTTGCTGGAATTTTTTTTTCGGCCTCATGGTGAAATTAGTTTTAATATAAAAGTAAATATTGCTTTATGAAGAAGTACTTAGGGGTGACTAAATTCCTGTTTTAACCTAATTATCTACTTCATAGTGCCCTGCAGCAAACTCTCGTGTCTGATATTGCTCCTTTTCCCTTTGTAAGAAAATTCAGAAGTAAACCAGCAACTGTTATGCATAACCATGGAAATTAAAACTCCAATGTCAAGACAACCTCACCTGCAGCAAGTGCCTGAGTGAACAACACAAAATCATTCGCTGTGTTCAGCATCAGGCACCTAACCCATAAAACTACAAGTACACTCAACAAGACGAAAAAGCTTGGGAATTAAAATTAGAGTGACTTAATAGTGAGGATACTATTTTTAAGTCTTCTGTTCAAGGAAGTTGAAAACAAAAACTTTCAATTCGGCGTTATGAGGTCTGAAAAATACAATTTAGAAACGCATTCTATTAACACACCGACATCACTGTAATAGTTATGCACAATTCTTTAATTTTGGCAGTGTTTTGAAATGCATTTTTCTGTAGTTCAGCTTTTGTAACCACAGAAGCATTTTTCAGTTGACTCTGAACTAAATTTCTTTTCACACATAAATTTCTTCAGAGAGGCAGCATTCCTCGGACAGCAAAAGGCCAGCCTGCTGGGGAAAATGTCTGCAACTTTCTCTTTATTTTCCTCGCAGTCTGATCTATCTCAGAGGGGCAGGAGCAGGGTGGAATAAATGTGATGTGAACTTCAGGGGTTTTTTTTCTAGCAAGAAGACTGTCAACACATTTGAATTACCTGTTAACTAAAAATAATAAACACTTAAAATGTATTTAAAATGTAAAAAAAATGTAAAAAGAGTGTAGAATTAAATAGAAGAGCTAAGACAAAGTGATTTTATTCTCTGCGGATAATTTTAGAATGTGTTTTTTTTGCATGGTAATCTTTGTTTTTGTTTTAAAAAATCAGATTGCAAACCTCTCTTTGTGTGGGAGAAAAACATTATCCTTGTACTTACAACAAATATATATGGTAAAAATTGTTTTCATCTTTCTACCTTTTCATGTCCTTAGTTAAAGTTAAACTGCAAAAAATAAGAACATTTATAGTAACACACAAAACAATGTATACGTGACTCACATACTGTAATGTTAAAGACTAGATGATTTTTATATTAAACACATGAGATCAAAAATACATATTGTATATTATGAGGCATATAAAAATAATCAGGAAGAGAAACACATTTTGCTGTTTCTGCTATCTGATAAATATTAAGATGTTCATGTTTTTGCTGTTCTCTCTAAAACTCTCTGTCTCCTGAAATATTTTATTTTTAGGCATCTTATTTATTTCCCAGTGTTATATATGTATCAGAACTGATGTTTCCATGTGTGTCTGTTCGTGTATGTTTGCGCAGAACACTAACTGATCACAACTGAATGTTGAGCCACCTGCTTTCTTTATTTCTCCTGATGCTTTATTTCTGTCCAAGAACAAGGTTCAAGGAATGTTTTTCTGATATAACACATGCAATATGTTTCTTGTTTCTCCTAAGAAAAATAGTAACGATGAATACAGGAAAGATATTATTAAATGAACCTTTGGCGCTGTTAAACTCTGCAAGTTATTAATAAACAGTTAAAATTTAATTATAAACAGTCTACTCAAAGTACAGAATACCTTGAAATATATTTTATTAATTATTTCAATCCAACAAATTAATGCTTCAGTTACAGAAAGAAAATGACAAACTTTTTCTCATTCTTTAATTTAAAATATTAAATATACTTTTTAATAATTATACATCTCATTCTTAGTCTTTAAAAACTGTGAAAAATAATATATCATAGATCTGAGGATAAGAATCCCAGAACTAGGTATTTCCTTTGAATGGGAGGTATGGAGGTTGGGAACATATGGCTCGAGTTCTTGATTTGTTTGGAGCAAACAAATCTCCAGGTCTGTTCAGAGCTACTATAGACCTGTGCCTGATTTATTCAGACCATTGCAAAATGGCTGTGGAGCAGATACCACAAAGGGGAAACTAAAGGTGAAATTATTACGTCTGTGTTCTACTTTATCTTAAAGGAACTCTCTCTGTCTAAGGCCTTATTAAATACTGTGAACAAAAAAAGGAATAACATTCTTATAAAAAAAATAATTACTCAAACCTCTTACAATTATAAATTATCCAGGCTTACGAAGAATACGAAGGTAAATGTAAAACGTTTAACATACTAAGAATCCGGACGTTACAGTGATTATATTACGTATTTAATACTTTTCTGCAGAAAAAGAAGATGGAATAAAGCCGTTTACAGAATATCAGGCACTTTGCAGCTGGTCTTAAGGAGAAATCCCGAGGAATGCCAATGTCAACGGCACTAGTTAATTTTTTTTTTGCTTTACGAAATCTTCAGGAGTGAGTGATCTAAACTGCTAGGGCTGACGATACATTTACAAAAAAGTAAAAGATCCAAAAAGACTCATAAAAAATAATATGCCTTGACTTCAAAGTTTATTTTTATATTACAAAGGTAAAATTATTTATCTTATTGCTGAACAAAATACAGAATACAAAGGAAGCGAATGGCACCCCCCACCCCCACATAACCCCCATCGGTTAATCAGGGTTTGCAAAAGTTGTGTCAGTTTCCTTGATGTGCATTGAGAAAGAAAGGTAGATTAAAACTTTGATAGCTCCATTAGCTGATCTCCACAGGTTATCAGATTAATCTCCATGGTAACACTATCTATCCAAAGTGGCTGTAAGCTGTTCATGGGCCCTGTCAGCTTCTGTCTGGGTTGGCCCATGAATGCGGACAAAACCCAAAGGATCCTGGGCGTTTTCTAACAGCCTCAGTGAAATGCAATACCGCAGAGGACGCAATGCCTAGCTTTGAACTTGATTTACCACGAGGTCCACAAACTGCTAGATTTTATTTTGGTAGCTGGTGCCAGCACCCTAGTGATATGGTGATTGTCAATGAAGATAAAGTCTACCTTAAGTGTTCTTAAAAAGCAGAAATAAGCTGCTTGGTTCCTGACCTGTATCCTGTGGAGATAAGTGTACAAATGTATACAGGACACTGTGGAATTAGGGCTCAGATTTAGGACTGTGTTTTAACAAGATGTTAAATATTCCTAACTCAAACCATTCATGAAGCTGTGTTCCGTTTAGTTCAAGGTATTCCATAAAGTTGTTTTTTTAGAATTGTAACGTTATAGAATCCTTTTTGACTTTTAAGAGAAATAATCCACGATTAACTACTAATCACAACTGTTAAAATTACTGTTTAAATTAATTCATTTTGCGTAATAATAGATCTTATATAAACAGTAACATCCAGTTTTATTGTTCTGTGCTAACGCGAGCAAAATATAGAGACATCTACCATGGCCATTTCTTAAAAGCTATTTTATTGAGACACAAAATAACGATACCATGTCTTCCAAAAAAATCTGTAGACCATCTCCTAGTAAAAAATATTTATATTATTCTAAATTAGGTCTCTGTGCTCTCATTTATACCTACGTTTCTGTTACAGAAGGCCTTTTGTCTCAAAACCCCAAATACATAGTGCTCAGTATTCATTCAAAGAAGACTGATAAATCAAATAGAAAACTGGGTCAAGACCTGTGTTTATGTTACACTTCCAAGAGCTAAACAAAATTCGTTTTGGTTTGTGAGCTCCTCTAACTCGATCAGCTTAGACATCAGCCCCCACACATCTCTCTGTCCCTAAGAGTCGGAGTGTTTATGTTACATTACTGTAAATTGAATTTAAATAGAACTGTGGGAAGTGCCTTCACATAATGGGCAGAACAGTCCATACTTTTATAAACACGAGATCTTGGGAGTTTTAATGAGTTGATGAAAAGGAAAAAATCTCGACTAACGGACCCTTTACCTCACAACCACGCGGAGGAGGAGAGGAGAGGGCGTAGCGAGACTGCAGTTGGCCTCGTCTCTGTCCGGAAGGCGGCTGGGCCCCGGACGCGTGGCTGGGGCCGAGGGCGTCTCCCGTCCCTCGTCTGCCCTCCAGCTCTGCTCTCCCGGGCTCTCACAGCCCCGCTCGTCGGCACATTCAAGCTCAGTGGTCCAGGAACGCATCTGCTGAGCCTTCTCGGCATCGTCGTTGTCGTCACATGATAATACACAGCAGTGACAGATTACCGTTTATTATTTAGAAAGTCTTGTCCTCCTTACAGAGAAATCCAACATATTTTATAAGACTTTTTCCATGATAGTAGACTGACTTTTAATGTGCTTTTTGAGAGCTGTGGAAATATTTCCATGGTGAAGAGTTCAGTTGTGCATTGAAATACAGCCATGCTTGGCAATGGGACCAACCTATCACCAGACCAAATTTACGTCATGCTGTCTGCATTCTCCTCTCGTTTTTCTGCTTATCTTCTGCACATCCTTCATCACATATTTTTACCTTCTTTTTTCATACTGGTGTATGGTTTTTGCTCAGATTGCTGTGTGCCGTCCTAGCTTTCCTAGCAGCGATAGCTTCTCACCACTGAAAGCGAGGAAACTCTAGGACTGTGCCTGCCTGTACTGTACTATACATTCCCCATCTTCTTCTGCGGCAGGGTGTACCATCCTGGCTAGCTCTCACGGGGACGTTTCTGTACTGAGACCTCCCCTCAGGAACTGCCTTTTTCATCCCAAATAGGTAAACAGAAGTAAAAACAGTAAATGAAGTGAAAAATACAACACAATTGTGAATAACAAGCGATGTACTGAGCGTGACAAAAGAAACAAAAAAAAATAGTGCAAAAGTAGCTCTGCACCTCCCCCTTCTTGCCTGCTGGTCGTTTAACAATCCATAACAATGACAATAATTATAATAATACATTATTTAACCCGGTATGTCAATTGAAAACAAATCCACACTTATAACGTCAACCTAAAGAACTGTTTACATGGCAGGGCAGTTGACTGGAGGGAACAGCCTTTCTCAGAAGGGTACAAAAGCAGCCTCATGCTCCGGGTCTGAAGCCACAACCTTTAAGTTATAGGTCTTGATCTCTGGTCTCTACTCCCTCTAGCTACTGCTCCACAAAAGAGAATCACGGTTTCCATATAGGCACCAATTCAGTCACGAAACCCCTTCATGAATGTTATTTTTAATATGTTAAAAATTACCAATAAAAGACATTTCTTGAGATTTTCAACAAAAATGAAGAACTTTCTAGAACTGGAACAATATTCTAAGAAGTAAATGCAATCCTTTTAATGTTGTAAACCAAACAATTTATTTTGCATCATAATATGTTCTTCCTTTCTATATAGTTCATAAAAATTAAAGAGAATTAAACAGTCTTGGATTAAATTAATCTTATCACTTTTCATTAAGGGAAAATGTTGAACCCTATTTCAAGTATTTTCCTTCTTTCATAAAAAATACTGAAGTTGAGGCCTTGCATTTCTACTTAATTTTATAAAGCAAAATTTAGAAATCACACAAAGCAAAGACATACCACAAACTGCCTCTTTTTGAAGACCAGGGTTTATCCAGTTTACAGCTGCAGACTCTTGATCTTTTTAAAATCTGCAATAAAACATTCTCGTAAACATAGAAGATTAGCGATAAAAATAATAAACTTAACAATTAATTTTTGTATTGCATTTCTTTTATTTAGAAAAATCATGGATAAATACATTCATAAAAAAAAACTAAATACAGACATAAATGACTCCAGTGTTTAGGATTTCAGTAATGTTTAAAATGTGTTTTGCCATTAGGTTTCTCAGAGCACAGTATGTCTCACTAATGATGAAACAATGGTACTATACAGGTCATAGATCAAAACATCCTATAACTGTCACTGTAGAAGTTTATTCCTGTTCTTACCAGGGTTCGTAATGTCCATGCACAAGAGTTATACCTACCATTGCATTTACTTTGTTGACACCTACTGAATTGCAAAAATGATTAAATTATGTTGTTATCATGTCTTTAAACCTAAAACTAAGACTGTTTATCGAATTTGATACAATCTATTTGAAAAAAATCACATTTCAAAGATAGCTTTTATAGTTACAGTTAAGTTTTATAGCTTAATAACATCTTGGTGAGGCACTAGTTTCATGTTTCAAGCAAACACTGGTGGAGTTTGTATATGGGGCATATTGAACAGTATGTCACAATATTGCGAGAAACCTGACCTAGTTAATTCTGGATACAGTTGTTGGAATGGTATCAATGTGTATCAATCACTTAGTCACAATGCAACCACAGGGATAAAGCACAGATCAGCTTGGTGCAGAGTTGGCAGCATATTCTGAGAATATTTGAATCAAAGGAAAATATTCAGTCACCAAAACTGTCATGAAATAATGCAGAGGAATGCAAAACTATCAGCTTGATTTGTGCCAAACTAGTTTCTTCTATCAGTTGTTCTGATGGAAAACTACAAGTGATGACAGCTTGTTTAGGAAAAAGAACATTTAATTGCCATTGTATCTAAACTGAATCTAGCTATTCAATAATGATCTTGCCGATCCTTTCTCAGCGCATTGCAAGTTCTTTCCTAGCTTGAAACACGCCTTAGATGTGAAACATTAAACACTAAGACTCGGAGGTTGTGCGTGTCTCCTGAATATGGAGAATCAAGCAAGTGAGTCACTGCTTCTGGAGGAGCTCTTCCACTCAACCTGTTTCGTTGGTTGTTGTTTTTTTTATTTCTTAATCCCATGCGTCCAATTTCCATCTGCGCTCCTGTCATTTCGATGGCACTTTTCACCTCCTGTTGCAACGTCTCCGATTGCTTGACTGTTTAGATTCAAAATGCATGAAACGTTGGCCTCATCTGGAAGCATTTAACATCACAAGTGTCCTCACAGGGAAACAGCACATTCCTTCAGTGCTGCAGATCCATCAAAAGGGCTCCTACTGTAAAACGCACCCTCAAAGAGGTATGAAGAAATGAACACTCCTTCCCCAATACAGTAGGTAATTGGTCCCTAATGGCTCTCGTCGGCTGACGACGAGGAATTTCGGGAAGAAAAAAAAGCAGGATCTTTGGCACGAAAAACCATCTGTATTTTGGAAGTTAAATTATATATTAAGGAGTTTAAGAGCAAAAAGAGCTGAGTTGAATTCGATTAATATAAATTGCCAATTTGCTTATTCGCTTACTTACTAATAGACTGGCTTCTAAAGATACAGTATAAATCGGTCTCTAGATCTACACAGTGTAAAACAGGCTGAGGACAGACAATGATCAGGTACAGTAGAAACCCCCTTACAAATCAGCACTAGTCCAGGTAAGGTCTCAGTCAAACACAGAGAGGCAGAAGTGTGGGAACTAAACCCCCTGCTCCCCGTTGACAGCTCAGTCAGTATCAGCAGTGGATTAGCAGTTCAACTTGGCATATTATACTTATGTGAACTCAAAAGACATGGGAATTACAGTATGCAGATGGAAATTACACTTTTTTCATTTAATTTCTATAATTACAGTAGGATCACCAATAATGTGGTGCCCTAGGGGAGAAGGGGTCGCTGGATTTTATAAAACGCCAGATAATCACATCAAAGCAGCTTATTTTTGCACACTACTTTTATAACATTGTATTTGGATGTTCTGTATACGTTTTGTTCGTGTTTTGAATTTGTTAACCGTATAAAAATAATCTAAATAAAGCACAGAGTACTTAAGAACACAAATAGACTGCATACATATTTAAACTACAGTGTAGTAGAAACACAGTGCTAAAATATTTTCACCACTAGTTAGTATTTATGCAATGTTTTAAACTCCCAGGATTAAAATAAAAGGGGCTGCATGCACACAGATATTTTGGGGGGTATTTTTCGGGAAGAGGGGGCGTCTTAATATCGTAAATGATTGCTCAGCAAATCACTGCTGCATGATCTCATGGTCTGGTTGCCTGATGAGCTTGCATGCGATGAGTAGGTACAGTCTGCTTCAGAGGCAGTCAGTACCATTCCTCAACACACATCAGCATCAGCTCTGAACTACTATTAGATAACGTTTCTTTTAACTTTGTTTTTTTTGGTTGACTTTTCACATACAGTAAATATCTACGGGCTCATAAACAAAAATATCTTGGGCAGCATGTATCGATAAACACTTCCTTTTTAGTCCCTGGTGTCAAGAATGTTTGTATGATGCGCGGCTGTATCTGTGCATTTAAGGTGACTCATAGGCATAAAAGAAAGTCATGTGCAAAGTGCAATATTGAACTGAACTGCATTCAGGACACCAAACCCATAAGCCAAACGAAAGGGCTAGCTGTTGTTTTTGTATCACAGATGACTCTGTTCTTGTTTATAGCTCTGCTGACTTAAACACATAAACGTACTGGGGCCATTAAAAAAAAAATCCCTGTGGGGAAAAAAAATGCCACAGTAAGCTGGGCTCCGTTCAATCTCTCAAACAATAAACCCTACAGGAGACTTCATTTTTTTTTCCCCGCTGCGGTTAAGGTTTTGGTCACCTGACGAAACAGCTGATGGAGCTGGCAGGCGGACGGGTGATCCTGGCGCTGGAAGGTGGACACGATCTTACCGCCATCTGCGATGCGTCAGAGGCCTGTGTGAACGCCCTGCTGGGAAATGAGGTAAAAGAGGATGAGTCACAGCGCTGAAGTCAGGCCTGGCTCGGTGCCAGCGTGCACTGCAGCGGGCCGCAGTGAGATATTAATAACAATAACGATAAATATTGCTGTGGTTTACATCCACAGTGGAGTGAAAGAGAATGAAAGGCTCCACACAATGCAACTGAGTGCCATGTTGCTTGTACTGGTCAATTCCGTGATCTCCATGCTTACACAAAGAACGCTTATACATGAAAGTGCAATCTGGTACTGTACTACCCCTGTGATCAAAAGTGGACACGAAAAGTTTGTCTAAAGTCTCTGACCAAACAGTTGCTACATGCTCTACTGGGTTAATATCTGACTCCTAAGGCACCAATGGAAGGAGCTGTACGGCCCTCCCATTGTTCATCCGGGCTGCTTCTTGAAGCCCATACTGTAATACTGCAATAAGTGGGGCAAACCTGTCGCAATGTACTGCACATCGCGAAGTTTTCAGCCACAGAAAGAAATACTCCGAGCTAGACAACACATTGCAGTAATAATCATTGGAGACTGTTTATCGCAAGAAGGGATCTGCTCAATTTAAGCTCGTAAGCATCACCGAGTTTGGGCAATGGTTTGGATTTGGCAAGTTACAAATAGCAATCGATACCCCAGGATTTTCAGCAAAGTGCCTCGCATGCCGACATGGTCTGTTCATCGGGCTGCACAATAAACAATGGCATTGTCCCCCAGGTCACTTACTCTTGTTAGTTTCACGCTAAAATTAAGCAAGCCAAGAAACTTTCAGACTTTCTACATCTCCATATCTACAACTGTGTATTTCTGAGCATGTATTCATGAGGTGGTTTGTTGTACTCTTGTAGGGAATAACTATATACTCTGTATTTAGTCCAATGAAACCCCAAACTCTAATAATACCTCATATCTAGTAACAACTGTGCTAGAGAGAGGCTTTAAATACACCGTCCCAACAGTATTATTAAAACAAACATGATATATCCTATAGCCTCATGCTTTGCAAACATTTGGATTTTCCCTAATATTTGGAAAAAGGAATATTTGTTAAAGGATAAGGTGTTAAAAAGTTTAATTGCAAGATTACATTTCCTTCCCTTTCAATCATGGTACGGTTGGTTGACACCAGTCTTTGAGATGTAAAAGATATTTTCTGACCATCTGAATGAGACAGTTTTACTGCAAAATGACGGCTAACGAGAGGCTTTAAATCAACACAGAAACATTTTTACTCCGTAAACTCACAAGCCGCACCATGCCTCCTTCTCGGGGGGTCGCTGCACAGGAGCAACGCTCTTGGCTGAGCAATGAGATCGTAGCCGTGGGGACCAGTCTGTCCCACCACCGCCCTCACCTTGTCAGGCAGATCTAGGGACAGCTCGATTGCCTGAGTGAGAGCGGGCAAGGAAGGGTTAATGACCTGTGTTTAGTCCTAGACAGGAAGCTGGGTCAGGGGTAAGAGACCGGGGTTGTCTCCTCTGCTGGGCTTTCATTTCTAAAAGGCTTTTAAATACAGAGGCTGCATTCCATTTAATCAGAAAAGCAAAATTATTGAGCTTCCCGAATAAGTGAATTATTGAACTTCCCGAATAAGTGCACCTTGATCCAAGTCAGTTGGCGGTGCCAAGTCAAAAAATAAAGCCCAGCCACAATCACTGGACCTAATAATCAACCAAAATACACAGGTGAAAATAAGCAAACGTGTCGCACAATTCATTTACGTTTTTGGTATCATTTGGTTGCACTGAAAAATGTGTATGCAGCAGACAAAAGAGCTATAAACAGTCCAGTTTAAGCTTTACCCGCTGACACAAAACAGATTAAAATTAATTTACCTAAAAGAGCTACACTTTAAACAACACCTTAACACATCACACTGGAAACGCGATGCAGTAAATATGCACACTCAGTCTCAGTTGCTGCATAAATCGCAGCGATGTGATGATGCAGTCAATTGGAAGAGCTCAGACACAGGGGAGGAAGGACTGTACAAACCACAAAGGGCAACAAGTCACCAATAAACAAGAAGTGACAAATAACAGGCTAAAGAAAACATAGGGTGTATAACGTCTGTACGGTCAACAGATGGATGGAATGAGCATTCACAGCCAATCACCTTTGACACAGGACTGATCTAGTCTGGTGTAGACTACAGAGTTGAGATTAATTTGAGTTCCAGGCACGAGTTAATTTGACAGTGCGTGACAATTAAAGGTAACAAAACTCAGTGTTTGTCCAAATCTGCGAGAAACAACTTTTGTACAAGATGTGGAAACAAAACTAGAGCAATGACAGCAAAAAAAAGGGCTGTTGGTAACAGTTGGGCAATAACTGATCAGGCAACATTTTGTGTTAGTATTAAAAAACAAAACACTAAAGTCATTTAGTTGGGTTTTTTTCTGAGAGGAGAAATACTTCTGTTTCAGTTCAGTTTCAAAATTCTTCTATAAGCGCACATGGCCTTTGGGCAGACCAGAGCAGAATGGTTCCTTCGCCTTTAGAAACCAACACAGAAGCATCACTTCGAAGTGTATGGTTTTCCTCTCTACTATCTGTAATATAAAAGCATTAATGGAGATGAATTAATGATGTTCAAGCTCTAATACATCTGCCAACTTTTTGTTGAGTTCATTTGCAAACATACTTGTGGTCAAATTTTGAATGAGAACTGGACAAACAATAATTGTCTCAATTCATTAACAGTTTCGATGCTTCGGTCTTTACTTTTTATGTTTTGAGGTTATCATTTTATATTAGGAGATTCTGAGACGTTCTGTAGTGGAATGATCCTCTGCAGAGCCAGGCAGCTAGAGATGCTGCCTATCCTATTGATCTGCAATAAAAGACCATAAAACTGCCTAAATAAACATCTCAGACTCAACAGTTATAATTACAGATATGTTCCCCATCAAAGCCATTTCTTCAACATGATTAATAGGATAATTATCACTAATTATCTAGTACTTCAGCTTTACAAATAATTGTAGGTGGTAGAGCTTTGGTCTATAGCTGGGCAAGATTTACTTTGGCTAGGATACACTGCAAATTTGACTGAACTCAAATTAGAAAGGTCAGCAAAGGCTTTGTTTGAGCACTCTGCAGTTTGTCAGATGTATTTATTCATGTGCGGGGGATTAGAATTCATAAACAGCTTGCAGTTTTTTTTCAGGCACTATTTCTTTTTCTTTGTTTTTCTTGGCCACTAGCTGTCAATACAACAATGCCATGATTTCTAAGACTAATTATTCATAATGCAATGAAATAGCAGTATAGCTTTTTTAAAGTTAGAGTTATCTATTGAATTGTACAGATACTTCCTCGGGACTGCAGAGAATACTCAGGTTATGGTCTTTGTAATTTTGATAGAAAAGCTGCAGAAAATTGACACAAAGCTGACAGCTGTAAGAATATGGCTGTATTGTAATAATGGAAAAGATGTTACAGCTTTGTAGCACGTGGCACTTGATACCCTAATTGTTTGTCTTGAAGCAGAATCAAATTATTAGTCCTTAGTCAGCTTTTTCTTGGACAACAATAAAACTATCTCACCAGACATCTGAAGTGCAGTCATTTGCTAGCATTAATGGACCTTGAAATAGTCACAGTACATTTATGTCTATGGAGTTACATACTGAGATACTTTCCCTAGTATTTTCTAAATATTCCTGTAAAATGTGCATCCAATGACACTTTGTTAGTGTAAACGGGTAAAGAATATTCAGGGTGTGATATAATCAGATGTTTGATGTGCATTTTGTAAGCTGATAGCAAATTCTGTTGTTTCTTTACTCAGAAAAGCCTGTTCTTTTACATATAATTAGAAACTCCACGTGCAGCATTGATTCAACAACACTTCTTAGAACACAGTCACTTCTTATTAAAGCAATTTCAAAATGAGGGATTTTAAGTAGACGTTTACATTCCTGTGTTGTTTGCCTGTCCTGTACTAACTCAAATACAGTATATAGGCTTCATTTCTTTTGCTGTTTTTTCCTGGACATAAAATAGAAATCCCTAATTTTATTCTTAAAAAAATGTTTCGTAAATCTTCTCATACATATAATAATTTGAGCTTGCTAGTGTCTCAGAAAGTTCCTGGTTCAGTGTTTTGGATACTCTGCCTAAGCAGCACAGTACAGTATGTTAAGAGGCAATCGCTGTCCGCTGTTAAATGCTTCCTCACACATTCAGCAACACCGCAGTGATTTGCTCTCATTCCAGGTGGGCTTATCTTTATCTCCAGTGCAGGGCTCTGCTCTGGACTTTAAATTGAATGTCGCCTTGATTGAAAATCCCAGTTTTAATGAACGCAGGTCTCTAAATAAGATGTGAAAACACAGGGACCAGAGCTGACAACCCAGGGTGATGGACCGTCCCCCACCTCCTGATGTGCTAAGGGATTAGCCTGAATTAGCCCAAATTAAAAGACCAGGCACACTAGGGAAGGAAGAAGAGATTCATTGTAATAGTTAAGAACAACACATCAATTCTTCCTTTCAAATAAATGTCACTCCTTGGCCACATGGCACCAGCCCCTCTGGATCCTCAAGTTAATTAAACCAGAAGCCTCCAGCCTGCCAGGGACTCACCCCCTGAGAGGAGGGGAGGGGGTGTCACTTCCAGCTAATTCCTACAGAGGAGAGGACAGCACTCTGCTGGCAGTGGGTGCCGAGGGCCAGGTTAAAGGTGTCCCTTAAACTGCAACAGGCTTTCTTCTTCCTGTTTCGTATCCATGGTTGGCTTCACCTCAAATTAAAATCGCTCTATAAAAAGAGCCAGCGAGCCAGGAGATGTAAATTGCCTAGCGTTACACCAGACATACTTTCTCAAACCCAAACAGATTAAATTTACAACAAAAATGGCACCAGCTACATAAATATACATGTGAAAGATTTTCAGAAATGCTGGAAATTGACATCATACCACTTCTATCAGCTCCATAAGAAGAACTCTAGAATTTACACAGCTGTCCTAACAAAGTTCCAATTGATTTTCAAGTGTTGCATAATAAGTTTTACACTGAAACCAGGGACACTTTGCCTGAACTTACTGTGCCTCACAGTGGGACTGCCTTCCTTATCTCATACGCTAAGAGGAAATCAAGAAAGCATTATGGCTTTTTTTATACACTATGAAAAAGCACAAAAAGCTATTTATTTCTAACTCATACGGCTGTAAACTACATTATTTATTTTTGCATGGATCACAAGTGTTTTAAACAGGTAAGGCAGGTTTATTTATAAATTAAGGACATGAGGGCTGATGTAAGTACTGACCTAAACTATGATCCGCTGTGTATGTACTGTATGATGGAATATTGGATGTATGAGCAAGGAAAGCACAGTGCCAAAATGTGATCTGTATTTTTCTATACCTGTGTTTTTTTAGAAAACTGAAATTTGATGTTCACCTCTTTTATTAGGTAGTGCTAGCACTTGTACTTTCGATAAAGAATGACTTATGTTCCCCATGAGCCCTGCTGCCTTCCTTTGTAGACACAAACTGAGAAAAATAAATAAATGATAGAACCCAGAGGTGAGAAGAATCGCTGTGTAGCATATTAAAAAAAACTTTTACAGCACATTCTGTGAAGAGCGACATGTTTTAGTTTCAAATACTTCTGTCAAGTATTTTTCTCTCACACTCAAAGAATGTAAGGAGAAAAAGAAAACAAATCCACATTTTTAATATATTTACTTAAGTTACACTCCACCTTTCATAATGTTATCTGAGGTAATGGTATCTGTTCTTGCAGCTGGAAGCCCTCCCAGAGAAAGTTCTTCGCTCAAAACCAAACGCCAATGCTGTCTCCTCTATTGCAAAGACAATAGAGATTCAACGTGAGTTTCTGTTTTTGTTTGGACATCATTTCATTGTTTCATTGTTGGACATCTTATTGTTTTAAATGTTACTGTTACTGTTGCCGATCTCTGGGGTTAGCCTGGTTGACACCATTTTCCCAGCAAAGATCAGGACTCTGGCTCACCTGTCAACCTCCTCCTGAGAGGTAAAGATTTACTGACCCAACTCAGATTACAGACCCGCTATTTTAATTAGTAGGATAATGAATGACCCCGCCAGATCAGATGCTGGGCTACAGTTTGAGATTGCTCGGTGTGCCGACTCGTTCCTGGTCCTTTAAAAACGCTGATGAATGGTGGTGAGTTGACAGTACACCAGGCAGACAACCTTGCAGGTCAGGTCCTGTTCATTTTCCCTGTTCTTTCTCCTAAGAACAGGCTTGTCCACTGCAGGCTAATATAAGGGAACCTCTTATTTGTCCTTCATTTTCTCTGTTGTCGATTTACGTCAAAAATAATTATCTCTAATAATAACTACTTCTGCCCATCCAAAATGACCCTAAATCAGTGAAAAAAGAACGAGACGTAAACCGATTATTGACAAAAACAAGTTAATCAAAACGCCTTCTGTGAGCACTGTTTATGAGTGGATTCAACCTAATAGTTTATGACAGGAAACCACATTTCCTGTGAACTGTGTTCAGTAACACAAACCTTTGAATTCCAGGCGCTGTGAATAAGAAGTCATTCTGGTTTCAGTGAGACCTGGAGCAAAGGCGTATAACAGGAATGCGATTTCAATTTGTGCAGCCCACACTGTCATCCAGCTTCTCTGGCACAATGACAATTATGATGTACTCACATGTACACACAGAAAAGAAACCTCTGTTACCAACTGAACATCTTTGATTCCTCAGGCACTTGCACAGTATTTGCACAAATGGATATGTACAGGGAGGGTGTTCCTGCCTTCCCAGCAAAACCTCTGCCTGGTGAGGACGTTCGTAGGGATCTTTGTAGATGGTCGAGGTTGGAAAGGAGGACAGAGCTGCCTGGTTCCTTCCCCATTGTGGAAACCAAACTTCATTAAGCCTTTGTTGACAGGCTAGAGGCTCAGAAACTGCACAGCGAACGAACGCAGTTTAAAGGTGTGCTGCTGTATGTTTCTGACTCCTTAATGTGTCCAAGTGTTCTGATTCACGGTATTGTTCGGACAAAGACTTTCGTATAATTCATTATGAAATTCGATTGTGCAGCGTGACACTACTTTGTCAGCATTATATCCAATCAGCTTGCATTTAAACTCTGATTCTGCTCCCTTCTATGGTTCATTTTTCACTTAAAAGTGTATTCACTGGGTGTTAACTAGACAAGGGATGCATGATATCACATCTAGAGTGCCATGACACTGCTGGAGCTCTGCTCTTGGGACTACAGAGAGCTGCTGCCTTACCTCCTGAATATGAGACTTCATGATTTCATTCTGCTCAGCTCTGTTGCACTAGTTTACCTTCTTGACCTCTATATCCATGTAATTATTAATTACTAAATTATTAGTAATTGTTGTAAATTATTAATTTGTTTTAATTCTGTCACACTTTTTTGGATAACTGCTTTCTGAATTAATAGATTAATTTCATTATGTATATTATTCATTAAATTAATAATATTATATTAATAAATTCATATTATTATTGTAATACTATGAAATACACACTTAATAATTCAGCCTGTGCTTTGTATGGGATAATGACTCACTCTGCACAAACACCACACCTAAAATACTTATTTCATGAATCATGATGCCTTTTGTTTTTGAATACATTAAACAGATTTTATGAATTAAAATTTACACATCTGACCTTTACAACTAGAAAGTTTGTTAGATTCAGTTAGGTGTGTGAAATACATTATCTCATCCTATAAGAGCAGAAAAGGCCTCAGTCTGCAGACAACCATACCACAAACAGGGGATTCAAGGTGAAATCTAGGAGTACAGTTGACATTGGTAGATGTTAGCTTGACATTTCCAAGAAACGGATGCGTTCTACTTAAGACTGACAACAGAATGATCTCTTGATTGAACAGAAGACAGAATCCATCTTTGCATGTGGGTCTTGGAGACCCAGAGCCGATGTACACACAATGTACAGGTAGGTCATTCCATTACAGCCGTGCAAACAATTACAAATGTCTCCTCACCTTTCCCAGTGGCAGGTGTCAGCTATACGAGGCGTGGTTCAGGACTGCAGGCAGGCCAGACAGTCAACAAGTCCTCCTGTTGCAAAGCAACTTCAATAGCTTCCTCCTCCCTCCCATAGGTCCTGGAGGGACTGCTGCTTAGTTATGCCAGTGGTCTCTCTTCAGTCCAGATGGAGCGGTTTTCCTAGGGAAGATGGTGCCGTAGGTCCATCTGGCTCTGCAACACAGAGATGGAAAAGGAGCCAGGGTGGAAATTGGCACCACATTGAGCACATGTGGCCATGCATTAAGTGGTTGTTGCTGAGGAACAGACTACCCAGCCATGTCGCTGAAGCTGATACCATGGCTCCATTCAAGAGATCTTTGGATCAATGAGTCACGAACTACAAAATAGACCAGATGGGCCGAATGAACTGCTCTCTGTGGTAACGTTATTACGTTCATCTGCTCTCATGTTCCAAGGCTTTCTAGAAAGACTCTAACAGATTCTGTCACAGAGAGAGTAATCCCATATAACAGAGCTTAAGAAGTTCTGTTCAAGTTTCAACAAAATAGGACCTTCTCCAAATAAAGTGAGGACCGTACCAATAACAATAGATGACGGGTCACAAATCAGGAGAGGCCAATTTCGCCCAACAAGAACGTTTGGTAGCTAGCAGTTGCTTGATCAGTCTCACAATCTCATCCAGCTGTTTCTCGAAAGAAGAAAGGATGTTGGCTTTCAGCAACATGACAGAGTAGCTTGTTCTACACTTCCACAGTCCTTTGAGTAAAATGGTACACCAAGTCCTGACTGGAGGATCAGGGCATCGGCTTCGTCAACACGGCAGGGTAGCTCTTTCCACACTCCCACAACCCACAGCCCACAATAATGTTCGAGCGACCCCACTCGAAATTGTCTATTGCTCTGTGCAGCCCCAGAAAAAGCAGCTCTTATTTCAGACTTGGCCACGTACGGTATTTCCCTTTGCCTGCATCAACGCTCTTTCAGTAACAGATGGGTAAGGCTATTTGGGTCATTTTCTTATTTCAATTTACTGTCTGAAATATTCGTAGAGTTCAAAATCTGTGCCTGTGTTTATCCAAATACGTGCATCTGTAGGGTAATTAAGGAAAACCGTCATTTTTCTGGTGTTATTATATATTAATTTTCAGCATGTCTTTCAGGCAAGTACTGGAAATCAATCGAGAAATGTTCTTCAGCTGTGGACCTCTCTCTTTCGGAGCTCCAGAAGTCCGACAAAGAAGAAACAGACGCTGTGACAGCGATGTCTTTACTGTCTGTTGATGTAGACCAGTCTGGCGAAGGACGAGAAGGCAGGTAAGAAGTTGCAAACCAGTCCGTGTTCATTTGGCTGCTATTCTTATTTAATGACTTTGCACAGGCCTCAGGCAAAACGTCAGAGTTGATCTACTTGGGAAAAATGTCTCGGGTGCGAAGACTTCTCTCATTCTCACAATTCTCTGTGTGGTCTGTTACACCCGTGTTTACTGCAAGACACAAAAAAGCTCGGGTTTACAAAAAGTCTTCACACAGGAAACTGCAGAAAACCAGAGCAAGATGACTTTTATACTGCAACTGTATTCAAAAATGTATGGCCTGCTACTTTGCGTTCAAAAGATATGAGTTTCAGATGCACACTGCCCCTGTCCACATGTGCTGTAGATGCATGTCGGATAAGTGGGTGTTTGATTTCACAGTGAAACAGCCTGAACTACCATGAAAGTAAAATCGTTTACATTCTCTGCCTTGGCTCTTTCCTTTCTCTTTCCTCAGAAAGGGGATCTTTTTTTAAACCATAACTTTAACTCAAATATACAGATATTCAAACATGCCATAATGTAAACAGGAACATTTGAAATCATTGCTTTGGACTTAAACTGTTTTTCCACTTGACATTCTGTTTATACTTCCTGTGAAAGAACCTCTATTTATGGACAACTGGATAACGCAAATAAACATCACACAGAAGTGAAAAATCAGCTTTGATTATCCATGAAACTCTACAATGTCATTGTGTACTCTTGCGCCGTATTCTGATTGCCTGTTTATTTTTACAGAACTGCAGCTGAGCCAATGGAAGAGGAACCCGCTCTGTGAAGTGCCAAGTCTTCCAAGATATTTCCTGTATGTGACTTCATTGTGTAACCCCTCAGGGCACCCTGAGACATGTCTTGTCTGCTGCTTGGGTGGCGCACGTCAGATGGCCCATAAACATGGGGTGCATAGGACTCATTTCACTTGTTCCTTGGACATGTATGAAAGGAGGGCTTAGATTTTCTTAATTTAAAGATGCCATACTGTACCCTCATGCCTTGAGTCTGTTTTAATTACGACTATGACCTACAGTGCAGAATAATACTGACACTTCGTTACCCCAGACTTTTTTTTTGTTACCATTTCAAAGGAGCTACATTCGTCTTTTTGCCAAGCCCTATTTTAAATGGTATTTTTTCCCCAGCGGCTCTTTTTTTTATCAAGCAATATTGCATTTTGGGAAAACGCGCCCAGTGTTTTATAATTATAAAAAAAGAGCAAAAATCATTTTGTGGGGTCAAGACATTTTTTATTGTGTACAATTGAGGTGTGTCAGTTTTGCTTATTGCCTTCAATCCATTATTTTTTTTCTAATTTTACTACTATTTACAAGACCAGAGGAATCAAACAGAGCCATAATTAAGAAAACTACTGAGCAACGCACTTCTTTCATAAACATTTGCATTGACTTTTTGATTCTGTTTTTATCTTTAAAATATAAAATTTTAAAATTTCACTATTATATTCTCGTTTGAGAATCCGCTCATTTTATTCAATTACTTAAAAACAGGACACTTGTGCAGTGTATAGCAGCGAAACAATATATTCAGTTCATGTTTCACGTAGATTCGAATTTATGTGTATGCACAAACTAAAAAGATGGGATTTTTATTTCTTTTTAAAACTACTGCACATTATCTGTAATAATACATTGCAGCATTTCCAAAAAAAACACATCCTGGGTAGAGAATATTAAAATTATTTTACAGTTATAAAATTTAAAAATAACAAAGAACAATTCCAAAGAAGATGATAGTCAATGAAAATAAGCCTCAAGTTTACTAAAGTCAAAAAGAAATGCTTTAAGAGTGGAATTCAACAATAAAATTATAATTAGAAGCAATTAGGTTAACAAGAATAAGATACTTTAATAGCTCAAATTCCTGTTAAAACTCTGAGAATTATAAACTATTTAGTGACACTTTAACTACTGAGTAATTTATGATGTTCATTATATTTTTTCTAACTAAGCAGCTTTCAAGTACAGCCTTAAAACCACAGCCGAAGAGCATTGTGTCCCGATTCAGAAATTTGAAGGAAACCTTAATTAGAACAAGCTTTGCTCAAAGGTTATGATGATATGAAAGATCGAACAATATGGTTTGAGTTAAAGGCAACTGAAACCTGTAAATCAAAGATGAAAAGATTTCATTCAAATGGAATTATAGATTTCTCTTTTGTCATCCGGCCAGGCATTTTTTTTTTCGGCATTTGGGCATGCAATAAGGTCAGTCATTTCATTTTCCTGAAGGGGTTCTGTTTCAGATAATAAAATAATGAAAGGTGATATCTGAGGGGGGGGTGTCGACAATTAAACGTCCAAAGGTAAACAATGCTATTGAGCAATGTGTTTTATCCCTAAAGAACTTTGAAAAACTAATAAAGGCGCAAATTTAATTTTGTCTACCAGTGCCAAAAGCTGTAGACTATAAAATGTCAGAAATAAAGGAAGACTGAGTGATCTTTAGGAAGGTTTCTAATCAAAGGTGAAAGTCAGTTACGCGTCGATGTAGAGAAATTGTTAAATATGCATTCAGACAAATGCTTTTAGCCGAGTTTCGAGGTGGGAGCTGTATCAGCCTGCAGAGGAAGGAACAGCGGTTTATTCTACGTGGAAAGTGAAAAGAAAGAGGCACAAACACCTGAAGGAAGCACAGAAACAGCCAAAACATTACTCTTCAGCCTGGAATGAACCTCTGCTAGTTCCTTCTTCTTTTAACAGTTTTGCTATTTTTGTTATTCTGTACCTCGACTATAAAGCTATCACTCCATCTATGTTTGTAATGTTCACAGTTTCTGTTTTAGATAATTTTATATTTTATATACAGCACATGTGAAAGTACTAAAACATCTTATAACCTAGGGCAAGAGGTTTGAGGCTAAAAACGTACAGACATACACAGACTCCACTGTGGTAAACAGACACCCAAGTGTCACTGCACCCTGTTTATACTGGATCCATGAACAGCACTGCCAGGATATGAGTGTGTTAATGCTGGGTACTTCCATTTTCAGTGCTCACAGACGACAGCAAGGTGCTCACACATCGCGGACACTGCAGCCCACACCTGTCATAGAACATGTATGTGAAGAGGTGGTCCCAGGCAAAAGTTTCAAATAACTTGTCAAAGATGCCGCAGTTCAATGATATTAATTCCCTGTTTGCAAGCCTCAGCTCTCTTGTCTTTCCTGGAGTGCACGGATACTGTCATCTTGAGCACCTTCCATTCAAATAACAAAAGTACTTCCCACATTTGGACATACAGGATAATACCTGGAACAAGTAAAGTCCCTGGCATCTCAAAAGTGACCTAATGGTTTTGAGTCTCACTTGGGCTTTGATGTCTTCCTGAGACAAAAGTCTGAATCCACGTGAATCACATCAGAGGGGCAGACAGGTGTTCCCTGGTCTCAACATACTGGTTATTATAGGCCATCAGCTCTGTCAGCGCAGAAGCTAAAGTGTGTAACATTATGTGTGTACAATATGTAGCATCCAGTGACATACGTGCATACCCACTGTCCAAGAACTGTGAAAACCCAGCCTCAAGTAACAGGCTGAGGAAGGACAGCCTGCTAGTATCTGTGCTGCTCACTGCACTCAACGACAATGTTGCAAAATGAGAAGAGGCACACTATCGAATGCACTCTGCTACAGAGTGAACATTTAAAGGCTATCCTGGACACCTGCACCCTCTGTAACACTGGGAGTTGACTGCTACAGCTAACTTTTTACTCCTTCCACATCCAGATGATCCAGAGTTCTACCTCTAGATCCTGTCAAAAGGCAGTTCTCATGAACATCCTATTTATGGCCTAGTAGGAGACTAAGGATTCCTTTAGGTTTTATCTTTTCATATACTAAGTAACCATGAGTTCGTTCTGTGAAAACAGTCAATCAGCTTATTTGTGTCACAAGATACATCTATTTATGTGACAACTGATCGTGAAAACATAGTGTGCACCGTTCAAAACATAGGGCACCGTTCAGTACAAGGGCATGAGCTACAAAACAGCACAGATGACTAGTGTGCAAATGTTAATAGTCAACAGCTGTAAGGACTGAATTGAGGGAGAACTGATTATTTAAAAACAATACAATGTCATTCCAGTTTTTGTTCTAAAAGAGCTCAAGGAGGTATGTTGACAAAATATTGGTGGCAAGCCATGGTATAAGAGATGCTGAGATTCCACTTACCTTTTGAGAGTGACGTGCTCGTGCCCTGAAGTTGCTGCAGCTTTGCTACAAAAAACCTTTCCTGAGATGAACCTGTCACAGAGAAAGGAAAGTAATGGGCATAATTAAACCAGGAGCACGGGTGCAGGTTGCAATAATGCAGATACCTTGTGTGTAGTAAATAACAGATAACATCAAGATCCTTCTGAACAATGCTATTGTAACAGATTACTAACCCTAATAATTGTAATTCACAACAGGGGTGACAGTTGGATGCATGTATTGTTACTGCAATACTTACAAGTCCAAGCCAAGATATCTCGTAATATAAAAATGAAGTTCAATGTGTGCGATGTCTGATTTAATTTAATATGGTTGGCCATACTGAAAAGGAAGATGAAAACTTAAGCTTCAGTACAAAAAGCCACCTTGTCCTGCAGTTTGTAAAGAATGAGGGACACTAGTAATTAGTACTTGAAAATCATTTTACAGGTGATTAATATTCCAGAGTTGAGTGAAATACAGCTCATTCAGATTAGTATAAAACACATTAGGTTATTCATATTCTTAGTAAGTGCCATTGATTGTCGTTATTATTTTAAAGTATTTTTATAGCTCTAAAACTTACAGTGACTCAGATCGAAAATAGCAGATGTGACTAAATTGAACGTGTTGTTTTTATTAAAAGCAATAGCTAGCTACTCAACGTCTTTTATTCAACTCAAAGTCTGGAGTAAATGCCCTCACCTTCAGCCATCACATTATTTCTACTGTATGTTTGATCCAGAGGTCAGATTTTTAACCCTTAAGGGTGACTGTGAATACTAAACCTTTGAAATGCAATGTTGTACACCCATGTAGGAAAGGTTGTACTCATGCCCTGTGAATAACAGCTCTTCTTTAATTTTGTCTAGTTAAGTGGTTGTGATATTGAATTATTCTCTTATTAATAATATTGTCCATGCAACAATTGACAGTTTTCTTGTGTAATGGCAAACTTAAAAGATAGAAGAGACTCTGTATGCTTGACACCCTTATCTCATAACTGTTGTTGTGAGACTGAAAAAGAATTCAAAGAAGAATCTTTAGTGTGCACTACATGACTGATTTCCCATGTGCATTTCATTTTGTCATTTTATTTCTTTCCACAGCGGAATTAATATGCAATTATGCAAAATTATGGATTTGTTTTTTTTTATTCAATAGAGCCCCTAACAAAATAAAAAACTAGAGCTAAATTTGCAGTATGGGTCCTTTTGATGAAATTTAAAATGTAGCTTTATTGGTCATTTAATTAAACGAAGAGTGCAATTTTATTTAAACTATTTGACTACGCTTTGATATATTAATGAGGGTAATCTAATGGAGCTCCCTAACAAATGCTTTAAGGCAACCATTAGCTTCACAGATTTCTTTTTCCTTCATTTATATAATTTGACGTTAGTGTATTATTTTTGGTAGGTCACTGTCGCAAGGTAGATGAGCAACACTGCATGTTTGTTTTATACTGAATCATGGAAGCTCAGGACAAAAGAACTGATTTTTTTTTTATGGAGAGCAGACGTAGAGCTGAGCAAACTCTGCATTATTATTTTTAAAATACATTTTAATTGCAAAGCTCCTCTTCAGTAAAATCCCATGTGTGTTCGTGTGGCTCACATAATCTTCCAGCACGTCTGTTCCAGATGTGAATGACCAGGGAATATGAGTTATGCAGTGAAAGAGATATAACACATTATCAGTTTTATTTTTGTTAGCAAAAAAACTGCTCCCACTACATTTCAATACAGAAATGCATGCTAATTAATTGATCTATTAAATGAGGTGAACTGTTTTTGGCAATATTGGCTAACTCCATGCCTTGCCAAGTTCCTTATCATCAAGCAATCATTGCATAAGAATTGAAACAATTTCCTTTCACCAGCTAAACACCCATGCGGCTTGGCTCTTGCAGAAATGTGTGTGACAGGTCAGAGGGAACATGCCTCACCCAACCTGAGCAGCCCAGCTCAGCAGCCGGTAGTCACAGTATCAGGGCACTATGACTATTACTCCATTTAAAATATTCTAGACATTTTCTATCATCCATATACTCGTGCCTATTTGGCAATGTAAAATCTTGAGAAAACAGGAAGAAATCATAATTCTGTCAGAATATCATTAAGTCATGATAAACATATGCTGCTTCTATTTCTAATAAAGTAGAAATGAGGTTAAATTCATTCATTCAATTTTGCAGCAGATAAAATGGACTGGATGTCTGTTGTAAATGGGTTAAGCTATGACAGAAACCTAAATTCTTAATTAAATTTAGAACAAATGGAGACATTAAGAGAAAGAAATAATCTACTAACACGCATTTGAGATAACTGCACTCACCCAAACAATCATTTTAACAGCACATATACTGGGGGGTGGGGGCTAGAGTACAGTAACTGTCAATTCCTAAATATGTTCTCGAATTGTTGTTGAATGTCTATTGAAACCAGGCAGGGAAAAAGTTCGGTCCCAAGACTCAGCTGTATCAAAACGTCGATGGTTTGTTGCGGTCAGGCCTCAGAGTGTGAGGGGTTTTCAAGCTGGAGAAAGCACGCTCCACAGTTCCTGTCTCACCGCCTTGAATGCGTATGGAGATAGACGCCTCAAGTCTTGATCAGATTTATACACCAACTCTGGCTGGTCCACCTGCAGCTGAAGGCTCCCCTCTGTGAATTAGGATGCTAACCTTGGTCCACAAGGACTCACGCAGCACTGAGGTTTTAAGTTATAAAAAGCAGAAAGTGAATTAGTGTGATGTTGCTTCACATACATTTTCTGGCCTGTGTTAAAATAATCAACCATTAAACAAGCCTTTTTAACTGTTAGAGAAAAGATGATGACCTTGTGTTGGGTTGATAAATAAATAATCCGCAGCAACTCAGACTAATAGCTCCATTTGAGGAAAATCATGATTACTGTTTTTTTTTAATAAGAAGAACAATAGTATTAAATACATCTTATATCGTCTAACCATTTTCTAACAAGGTTACTTTTTATCATATTATAACCGTCCCCTGTTCAGGACTGCACTCCTCACCATCAGTGATTGATAGGTGTTTAATCAGAAGTGAAACTCATTCCATAAACAGCATCGCTTCCGAATATTGGTAAGTGAACATCTGTAAGTAAACTTTGTAGGTCATTTTTGGGAAGTGTTTCACCTGCTCATTCTCTTACCATTTGGGCATGTGTGAATTAAAAACACGAAGGGTTTTGTGACATAGTTGTGAAAGCAGGACAGACACAATGTGTACAGTACATTTAAACATAAAAATGTAATCATTAAAATTAGTAGACAGGGATATGTCTAGTGTAACAAAGTAGAATCTGCATTAAATTAATTATTATGAAGCACTTACACTGAAGCCAGATAAGGTCACTGTGTTCTCAAATCAGAGCGACAAAATGATTGAACTTCAACAAAGTTAGACATTCTGTGTACAACTAAATATTTTTGAATGAATCAATGTGAAATATTCAGTGTGTGCTAAACAATACCTTCTTACACAGATTTCGTTAGGGAACTTGATATTTCTAATTCCTCAAACCCTAAAGTTGACCGTGTGCAAATTTCTGAAATATCCACAGAAATGTTCCTGTGAGAGTTCCTTACATGTAGCAAAAGGCACAAACGGGCATTTTGAATTGTGTACTCACATACTATATTACATTTATAGTTGTTGTACTGTTATGATAAAGCTCTATTGTGCATCAATGTGTTTTTTCACTTTGCTTAGCTTTTGTTCGTTTCTATTCCGTTTGCGTGTGTTGTGTTTTGCTTCCGACTACAAAACTACATGATCATGTCATTAGAGTGGCACTCAGCTGTATGTTTTGGCTCTACATTTTATACGGAGATGAAACCTGTGTGTTGTATATTGTCTTTACGACTAATTTAAAATAAAAAAAATTAAAAACGCTTTCCCCCCGTTCTGTGATGGTGATGCAATTCAACGACAGCGAGCCTACGGGACTCAGAGCGTGTATCCAGAACGGAAGGGCGAGGGAGAGACGAGGGGATCACTGTTGCAGTGAAAAACGACCTCACAACAAACTTTGAAGAGCAGGGTTTGATTTCTGTTTGTGCGTGTGGGATGCAAGCCCGTAACTGTGTGTTTAAAGATCAATTGACAGTCTGGATGAACCACACTTAGGTCAAGTCTCAGATAAACAGGTCAGTGCATCGGATACACAACCATCGGAGTTACACTACACTTCTTTCTTTTTCGTGTGTGTGTGTCTCGTCCACTACCCTAGAATCGTTTACGTTTTGAGAGGCTTATTAGATACAAGATTCTTTTTTTATTATTATTATTATTTCGGGAATGCTCCGAGTCAGGATGCAGAATTACCAGCTTCGGTGTTCAATAAATTGTGTACTCAGGACGCGTTCAGGATACAGGTGTGGCGAAGGCCTAGCGTTATTAAATATGGGTAATGGGCTACAGTTAGCTGCTAAGCAAAAACAGAAAGAGGTCCATGAGGATACATACCTTTAATCCCCCGTGGATACTTTCCCATAACTTGGAGAATAACCGCGGGGTGCAAACATTTCCTAACAATACTTATTCAGTATAAAGTTTTGCTACGCATTGGTAAATGCGTATTGTGTGTTTTATAAAAATAATATAACACGTTACGATTACATTTTACTCACAGCCTTGTCTGTTACGTGTGTTTTAAAACCTTGTACTTATGTTTCACCGAGAATATGAACCACTATTTAAAATCAGAGTTGGTAATTGTAGAAAGTATTTTCCTTTTAATAAAGATCTATACTTGAACATTTATTTGACGACGAAAACAAAATGGAGATTATAATCTGTCATATAGTTCACACAATAAGGAACTGAAAATATCAATGCAAGAGTTATTACATGTATCGATTTTTTTAGAAAGCACACTCGTTTTGCACATGAAGTCTGATGCCTACTATACACTGCAAATTGAAACACTTAAATTTACCGCTTTGTTGCAGAAATTAGAAAGCGTCTCCAGTTACTCTTTTAGTTAGGGTAATTGTTCAAAGCTAGGGTACAAACGAACTATCGTAAAAATATCCCTAACGGTCCACATACAATTACTTTACTGTCTTAAAATGTGAACCTGCAACAATATTGCTTCTATTGCTTCTGCTGTTACAGCTACTACTGCTTAACGCGATGCAGCTGCTACACCGAATCATAACGAATTAAGGAAAAATTCTGAAGTCTGAAGTGAACCATGATTCACCTGCATTTGAATTTAGACCCACTGAAGACTGAGGTTTCCTCGAACAACAGATTTCTTTTTGCTGCCCGTTTGATTTTCAAAAGGATACGTTTCAAGAGCATAGATGTAAGAAGGCCGTTTTAAAACAAGAGTATTACCTCAAGTGCGTGTCATTTAAAACAGCATTCCTTTCCAATTAAAGTACATCCCCCCCAGACTTGTTCCAAGTAAAGGCTTCAGGTTTAAATTTTAGGAGGCGGAAATGGATTTACATAATTTACTCGGACAAATAAAAAAAAATCAAATAAAGTGATTAATCAGAAAGTAGGCAAACGCAAAATAATTTTCTCCTCCATTTCGATTCTGAATGACGTTTAGGCCTGTATTAAAATCTGTGTTTTGTTTTAAATGTGTTGTTTTACAGACTTCTCTGCTTTCAGTACCTCTAAAACAGGTGCACTCTCAAGCCTTAGCAGCTCGCGGTAACGCTACACTGCAAATATATTTTACCCACGCCACAAGTACAGACCTTACGTGAACGGGGTATTTCATCTGTATTTGATATTTTATCAATGAGCAAACTGTAAAACGTGTAATCTGATTTGTGCCACGTACCTTTTATATTAGAAACTCGATTTACCTTCGTATTAGCTAAACCTTCAAAGGAAAATAAACAATGTGGTCTGGGCTACTTCGAAGCTTAAATGTACAAATACGAAGAAACACCTGTCGACGTGAATCTGTCACGCGTCTAACTGCCCGCCTGATCAAGCCCAGTTTGCAATTAAAAAAAATCCGATTTTTGACTCGTGGACAAAACGGCCGCAATTACCCAGTTTTCTGTTAAAGCAATACGTAAACAAATTGTATTTGTGACAGGTATTTAATGAGCCTATGTCCCTATGTCAGAAAAAAATGGTTTTCTTAATTCGGGGGAGGGGGGGTTGGAAAATGGGTCCCTGGCTTTGTTTTTTTTTTTCCCTTGTCATCCTTGGACAGATCGCGCAGACAACTAATACTGCCACTCGCTTCTGACGTTAGTTAGCTTACTAAAATATACGTAATGGTGCCTTTACACTCTGATTAACCCTTCCTTGCCACTCACTGCAGGCTGAACTGTATTCAGCAGCGAAGCGAACAGGTTTCTCTGTTGTGAGTGCTGAAAGGCTGGGGGGGGGGTGGGTTGACCCTCTGGAAGTGTCAGAGCAAGAGACATTTGTAATAAATCACACCGATGAACGTCCAAATCCAATGGGTGCCTTGAGACTCCTCATACATTCAATCCTAAACCCTAACATCAAAGGATGGCTTTTTTAAAACCATAAACACTTTTTTCTGACTATAAATAAAGGAGAACGTATTGTGAATTATTTTAAATAGTATACGGTAAACCACTCGGAAATATCACACTTCCAAACACAGGCGCACGCAGAAGCCTTAAAAAATAAAAAGTATTTTTGGGGGGTTCAAAGAGGCACAGTAAACAATAAAAAAATAATACAGTGTAGCTGTATTTGTTTCAAAAACAAACGCGTTTCCGAAAGCACAGGAAGATTATGTTTATTATAAAATACATTTAACAGTATGTAGTCATATATAAAATATATCGTTATCTTTCATATTTAAACTGTACACGCTGTATCAGAGTGTGTGTATGAAAGGGCCGAGAAAAAGGTACATTTCCCTGCAATGGAATTTCGTTTTAATTGTCAAGGACTATAAACGGGCAAGCATGACAACGTGCACCTAAGGAAAAAAAAAAGACTGAAGTTTAAATTAACAGAGACACGGTCACTTGAAAGGGTGGGAATCGATTTCTGCTGGAGAATCAAACGGCCCTTTGATCAAATCCAAGAGTTTGCACTGCTCAGTTCCCTGCGCGCCTGTCAGAAAGCTCGCCCGGCTGCAATAGAGGCTGAGGGTTATCTCCTGAGGTTCCCAACCGTCCCCACTCAAGGGGATATGCACACAGTACACACGTCAATGCAAACTATTCATCCCACTCCTGACTTGGCGGATTTTGTTCAGATTTATTGAGAGGCATGAAAGACCGTGACCAATGATTATTGAAACTAATAGCAATTGTTTACGTTGATCAAATTGTTATACGTTTCATTGTATATTAGTGTATATACTTATAAAAAAATATCAATATCCATCAATACTTATAAAAGGAATTCCACCTGTTGCCCAGTGCGGAAAGTTCAATATAAAGTGTTATTGTGGAGTATGTAAGTAAAATGGGTTGACTTGTTACTCTTAATATTGCGATTTACTAAATGATTTACTTTCAATACATGTAAAAACACGACAATTGGACTTGTTTTTTATTTCTCCTTTTTTCTCCATAGAGGTGTTTAAACATCTAGACTGAGGGTGATAAACGGAGCTGAATCCGACCTGGACTATTTTCCTCACGGTGATCACAGTTTCCGTGTGCTCGGTCACGGAGCGGAAATGCACTCACCTTGACAAAGATACAATTTGCCTTTGGATTTCGGAAGTTAGCGAAAATCTAACAAGTATTCAGTTAGACGGAGAAAAAAGCTTCGGGATATTCTCGCATCATCGATAAAGCCATAATCGCGGTGCAATAGTACACAAAACAAAATATTAAATCACACAAAAATAATAATATAAAAACGTCTTTATACAACCTGTTAAATATGTTGTCCGTACACTAAACCCGCAACAGGGAGAAATAGTAACACCATTAATACCCCACTTACTATTAATTCTCATACTGTTGCTGCTAAAACTACGGCTACCAGTGATGATAATTCCATACATGTTGGGACTTTATTAATTTAAAATGCATAAACAATAACATGATGACATTTAAGCACAAGTAAAAAGGTTTATAAAACGATTTACCATGTTCCTCTGCTTAATTCGGGTTTGCCAGCTTGGAAAATCAGGCCTATAAATCTCGTAAGCAGACATACAAAGACACATCACCACCTCACTTAGAGCGCACGTCGCGTCTGTATTCTAATTCATATGTACTGTAAGTAAATACGTACTCCACGTAGGACATAAAATACACATGGTAGACTTTATTATATACATAGTACAGAATTATTATATATAATCGGTTATAAAAGACGGTCATGTAGTTTAGGCTGAATGCCAGTCTTCATCTTGATCTTTTCATGACCGAAAGGAAAAAGTCAAAACGGTATTTTCTCCTTCTTACCATTCAGATTCAGACGCGTTGAGAAGCAATCGATTAGCCTCAGCATGTCCCCAGATCTGATTCTGATTCTCTTGCCGCTTCGAACAAATCCTTGATTAACAAAATATAACAAACGTCATCTTCCAACAAAATTCACCTTTCTCTTCTTTAGAATAAGAGTGATTTATGTCCAAATCTTATTTCAACCACTTTTCTCTTGCAATGCATTCGAAGGCGTGTCTCTACTAAAGCTGCACATCTGTTCATTTCACGTGACGTTTAACAAAAATACTAACATCTGGTGAAAATAAGTTTCCTTCAGGTGCCTGCGTAACTTTTCACTTGCCAAGATCCTCCAACAATAGCAACTCTCACTTAATCCTATACTTACTTAATCTTTGATAGTGAAAAAATAACAACCACGATCTATAAGGAAAAGCAGGAATATTGCTAGAAAAGTGAATGAAAACACTGTGTGTTTATCTGTATTTTAAGTCAAACTACAGGCCTTGTAAACGATTTCGTGTATATTTTCTCGTTCGTGTTACTAAAAAGAAAAATATACCGAGCGGGTCACCCTGAAGTACGTCCAGTGCAACAAACTATTATATTCAGCTCAATACTGGATGTATAAAAATAAGAAACGTCGAAAACAGGTGTTTGTAAAACAGAGATTCCACTTACTGTAAGGTGGGCCATATAGGGGTTACTAATTCAAAGGGCCTGTTTGCTACATAAAACGAGAAGAAAAAAAAAAAACTCCCAAAGTGTGCGTTCATATTTTTAATTTTTCTCCCAGCTTGTTCTGTGCTTTCCTCTATTTTTTACCAAGTCAGACGCGTATAAATGGCTGACTGTTGGAGCCGTAAAAAGAACTTTTGTGCAAGTGATTTTAACCTGCTCCACCTTCAAGTGACCTGCCAAATGCTGTTTCTATTTTATGGACATCTGGGAATTCCGAACATGCCTTAAACCCCAATTACACACCTTCTTCAAACGGACACGTGCTTTGATTTGCAAGAAGTTTAAGCTCGGAGAATTCTAAAATACTTTTCCAGACCACGCCGCGCGAGAAACAAGAGCTTTCTTCTCTCCGGCAGTGTTTGTTGCTGAGCACAAACCAAAATATTACTAAACTAAAAACCCAAAGCGCACTTTAAAGTCATTCTACCGATGACTGCATGGCCAGAACTTACTTCAAGCGCGCTATAAAAATTGTCATTAAAACCCCATTAGATTTTAAACTCGATTTATTATTTGGTTAAATTCGTTCATTTTTATTTTTTTATATAATGCTTTATATTACACAATTTATAATCCTGGTGCTATGACTCACATACAGTAATTCTGGCGTATTTGTTTAGCAGCAGAGCAGAAGAGCGGTTTCTTTCACTGGTGGTGGAAAGATATTAATAGACACTTATTTGTTTTGTCTCGTTAAAATGACAAACTTACCTATTTGCTCTGTACGTGTCTCTGAAGCAAGCCTGGGAACCGCTGGATCAAAATCGTCTGTCAGTGAAGAATTTGATACTTTTGGCCTGAAGAACAACAGTGCTGAGCCAGGCCAACCACCCCAAGTAAGAAGAAGAAAACACACCGAGAGTGCTCATCTAATCCAACAAGCTAACAACAGCAGTGGTGAAGATGATGACGGTGGCGATGACTGTAGTATTAATAACGGCTAAATGATAATATTTCCTCCTTTGAAACTCTTAACCGTCAGAATCGCCTCCTTGCTCGTTTCCCTTCAACGTGAAAGCAAAGAGGTTGTGCTTAACGGGAGAAAATTAATCTGCCTTAGTCATGCTTCCACGGACAGAGTGAAAGTAACTGTTGCGCTACAAACTAATACTTCCACAGTATTACTTTTGAACGTGCTGTAGCTGAGACCTCAGCAGTATGAACTTCCAGGGTAAAAACCGCGTCAAAACATAAAGGAGTATTTATTATTGAATGTGTTAGTTTCGTACGGACGGGACAAGGAATGCATACTAAATAAATTGCCATTTCAATCATTTAACTTAATGCGCTCTTTCCTTTTGAACAAAAAAAAAATATCTTTCTAGTCAAAATCCCAGTAGCAACAAGCAAGCGTAGGTAATTTGTAACTCACAGTTTGGGGCCGGATTATTATTTTTTGGTTATTTGGCTTTCATCTCGTTTTTTAATTATCGCGGGGTATTAGGCCAGATAAATAAAATCGGATTTAAAAAAATGTTGCTTTTAACCATTTGATCCCATTTAAATACCCCCCTTTTTTAAATGAACGCGGAAATGTCTTACTAGTCTTTTATGTATTATAAAGTGTCAAAGACAGCGACTGGCAGCACAAACATAAAACCTAATACCAGCGCCCATGGGTTCAGTTCAAGGCACAGAAAGGCGTGCAAACATCCCGAAAACTGCAGGGCCGAGATCTGATCTCCAGTGGCACCACGGATAACCAATTTTTCGAGATTGGTTGTTATTTTACAATACTGGCATTGTTATATATCAAAGTGTAAGCCATTGTTTTCTCCGTCTTGCACATCACTAAACTAAATGCATTTCGCTATTTAAAAAAATAAAGATTTTACAAATACAAAACATTCGAATGAGGTCACCGTTAACAGCTCATGTTTTGCCAAAAATCAAAGTCGAAATATATATATATATCAGAATATGCTTCTAAAGCGAAGATATGATACGCCAGACTAAATTTTAAAGTCAAGTTACATCTCATAAAGACTTAGATCTTTTTCATACTGTACATGCAAAACTTCAGAGAATTGGATATCAACATGTATCCGTACTAGTAATTATTTTGTTCAATGTGCGCTAAACTGTTTCTGTTGAGGCTAAAAACAGGCAGATATACATGACTATTTTCATGTAAAATAAATACATTCCAATATGTGTGGAGTTAGGACAAGAATGCCTTAATCTAAAAAAAAAAAAGCCTTTAACCATCCTGCCCCTAGTTCTATGTACAGATACCCGTGTGAACTTCCGACAGAGAAACTGCCTAGGTTCTGACATACGATTCACGGAACGGCTGCTGAGGTTTACCAATTTATATTTTCCTAAATAATTCCCAAAGTCCATCGAATGTATTTCTCTGACCTACGCGTGTAAGATTCCTGTCCTCGATGTGAATAGAGGACTGCAGCCCCAAGACTGATTCGCGTCACGTTATCAAGATGAAGCGATCATCTGTCTGTCACCGCTGCTTATTTAAGTTTGCCCACGTTTCTGTGTTTCTGCGTCCCAGGATAGTCTTTATCACCTAATTGATTACCTCTATCTCTGCGCTGTGCTCGATAAGTTAAAGGTGACCAGAACGTACTGTTAAAAATCATATTTATTTTATTGCAGAAAAATATACAAAGATATTTACAAAACAATCATAAAAATAAGAATGCATTTAGACACCGGATCTATTCTGCATTATAACATGGGTCATCAATAAATAAATAAATGTATTTCAGGAAAAAAAAAAACCTTAAAAAGGTTTGCACAGGTATGAGCCAGGTGTCAGACTATATTATAGGACAGTTTTCATCGACAGCCTAGCAATGAAAAGTTTCGATGCTTTTTATCCTTTGTTTTTTTCACCCCCTTCATAGAACACAGGCACAGCTGGTCAAAAGGCATGCATAATGAAATAAATTTCCAACATTCATCGTCAGACAGAAATGTTTCAAACACAGATCAGAATGTCGAGTTTGTGACCGTGAAGTCGCACGTGTGCTTGGTCGGTGTCCGTCGCCTCGTTGTCTCTAAGTGCTCCCCGCCCTGCCCTCTTGGGTTGGAAGATTTTCGTATTTCCCCCCAAAAAACGCAGCTTTGTACATATCCAGCTTCAGACTCGAGAGTCCCCATCACGGGTGGGTAAGTGGACACCAGTTGTCACCTGCAAAGAACAAAATAAGTCAGAGACAATTTGACAGAGATCCACGCGTGACCAAATTTGTTTTTGTGGCCCGTGCAATGTTAACATGTAGCGACATTTAACGCAGGGAAACCTTAAAATGGAAACTAGCTGGCAGTCACCGAGAAAGAAAAAAAAAAACCGTTATTACATTAGAACAAAACTCTTTCAATACTGACGATCGTCATCATAAAAATACATTCTGTTTCGATCAATTAAAAATAATGGGAGAAAAAAAAGGCACTTCGCCAGCGTACAAGCAATTAAACCAAGGTGACCAAATGAGTTAAAAACTCAAGGTCTGTTGCTTCTGTCATCTATAAAAGTTACAAATGTAATGTTACAAAAGTTACGATATGTTTGAGGAAAAGAGGCATACCATGTTAGCCTAGTTTCACAGACGCTAGTGAGATGCAGACATGGACCAGGCGCCCTCCATTCTCCAAACTGAAAAGGCATAGCTTAGTCTCTCATGAGCCACATAACTACAACTTGCCATTTTGGAGTCCAGTTCATCGCTCTGTAGTACTTGATAGAGGAAATCGATGTACCTGGCAGCCAGTTTGAGGGTCTGAATTTTGCTCAGTTTGTCTGAAGGAAGGGTAGGAATGATCTTCCTCAAGGCAGCAAAGGCTTCGTTGAGAGACTGCGTTCGCTGGCGTTCGCGCACATTAGCCATGACTCGCTGGGTCTGAAGTTCCTCGAAAGACTGCGGGCTGCTGCTGCTGGATTTCTTTCCTCTTTTCCCAGGGGTAGGGCTATCTGAATCCTCCCCATTTTTCCTGCTCGATCTCCTTTTCCTCCCACATCTTTTCTGCTGCCTGTCGAGCTCTTCTTCACTGTTGCTTAGACTGTCCACTGGAGACACAGGGGAGCCGGATTCCTCTTGCATCATTTCTTCAAACATCAGCTTCCACTTAGAAAAGACACAAGATCGCGCTTCTTTATTTCATTAATTTAAAACTGAAGACCTCAGTCCCTTGTTATATAAAGTCAGTTAAAATATCCGTACTCTGGCGTCCTAGCCACGGAGGTGTTTCTGGCTTCTTGGAAACTTTGGGAGTTCTTATAGCCTGGACGGCGCTAAGTGTTTGGAGAATGATGCGATTGGTCAAGAAAGCAAATGACGTGACTAAGAAGGACGGAGGTGTCCAAGGAACCATCAAAAAAGTTTCCGTTTTTCAAGATGCAGCCCTTTCAGAGTAGCGTAGCAGCCTGGTGAACAATGCCAGTGAAAGGGGGGACCTATAAAAGGTACATTTCACACGCGCTTTCCGTGCTTTATTTCACCTGGAGTGACGCGCAGGCGGCGCTGAAGCTGTTCTCCGGCTTCGGCGCGGAGCAAATAGCAAAAGACTGATATATTTACCAGTTGTTACGATTCCACAGTACGATTATAGTCAGAAATATTGCTGCTGCAAACATAAATCAACGGATATCTCAGGAGCCTGGATGCCGGCCCCACGTATTTATGCAGCCAAGCAGGCCAAATGGGTCGTGGTAAGATGATGTTATCACCGGCGCAGGGGTTTCGTAAACATAAATAGATCCAAATACCACAATATAAAGTGCGAAAGGTATGACTAATTATACTGAATTCTAGTAATGACATAGCATGTTCTTTCAAAGGTCTGTATAAATACAAACAATAGATACACCCAAGCAAAATGTAATGGTCTACTAGCTAATATTGTCAAACGAAATGTCACTCTAGGTGTAATAAACGTCATTATTCATGGAAATCACAAATGCTATTTAATTTGTGTTCAGGTTATTTCAATAGACTCCCGTTTCGGCCTTCTTTCGAATTAACAGACTGAATCCAGAGCTGGTAATCGAGACTGAAATCAGTTGTTTGGTGCTGGATCGTCAATTTAATTAGCAGCTGTGCTTTCTATCTCCTCCCGTGTCACTGGCCTTCCTGTGATTTAAAGGGAATAGGGCGAATGCAATATCCACCCGCATTTTCTGTTACTAGCTGTAAGGACACATTTGGACCTCTGTAGACTGTGTTGACAAAAGATAATATTTACAGTTATTATATTATTTACAACAGACAGCACAGAAGGAGAAGAATCACACAGGCGCAAACTGAGAATGATGTGGATACAAGTAAAACGACACCCTTGAGCCTTTGAAGATGAAGCTGTTGCCAACAATGAAAGAAGAAAAATATTGTTCTTTATTGCTGAATTGCTGATAAAGCACTTTTATTTTTTTTATTATTATTGAAAGAGGTTATTTCAGTAGGTTATTTCTGTTGTCAGTAGGGGACCTGCAAAGTTCTTCCACCTCGACACTAGGTGACCGCAACATTTATTTTCATTTATTAGTTCCGAGTGAGTCGCTCAGAGAGGTGCTAGTGTGAGTAATAAAAACTGTCCACCAAAAAGAAGCGGGGGTGTGCGGAGGTTATACCACGATTCTGGGGGGAGGATAGGTGTAGCGTCTCTCCCAAGCCCGGTGAGCCGGGTTTCTCCCTGTCAGGGCTGGGCACAGCGGCGGGCAGACCGGCGGCGGCTGCTCAGACCCACAACGAGAGGCCGCAGCGCACCGCCAACACTACCTGGCGAGACACACGAGAGCAGGCACCCACAGCTAACACATAAAACGCTTTAATGTCAACGGATGCAGTGTGAAACCGCCTGATGGGCAAACCATTCATCTCCACGGCTGTTACCCCAGAAATTGCACACCGGGGCTGTGGGCTTCTGCTTGCAGTCCCGCCAAATACGAAACTGTAGGTGCCACGAAAGCGCTTGAAAGGTAAATTTCAAGGGGGGACAACGTCGATAGCTCCGTACAGAAAAGGTCAGAGCAGGTCCTAGCGAGGCAGGGCATCGCCCCTGTGACCTCGTATGACCTCTGTTTGAGGTTGTCCGTCTCTGTATAAACCCACATTTGGCGGAGCTTTGAACGACAGCTCTCTGAGCGTCCTGCCACTCAGCAGTTCAACCAACCGACCGACCGACTGAGAAACCGACTCAGCTGACGGATGTGGAGCTCGCCTATTGAAATGAGTCTTCATCCTTACACTTAACCACCGTAGTCCTCCTCCGCAAGAGCTAGGAGAAACTGAGGTTATTCCCTGAAATGAAGTACGAGTTCCAGTAGTGCTTGTGTGCATCTATCTTCTGAACTCCTTGAAGTGATTAGCGTGTGTTGTCATACTGCACACTTCCTGAACAGAACGGGGTTAAAGGAAAGAGGAGCAAAGGGGAAGGAAGTGGCTTGCAGGCATCATTGCCGACCACGGGAGGGCGCGATTTCCCATGTATCTGTCAGAGCAGAGGAAAAGTGAAAGGGCACTTTCTGACAGAACTTTCACAACTGATAAAAACCTCAATTTGCTCAAAGCTGGCCTGACAGACTTTCAAGTCGAGCTGCGGAAGTGCTGTTTTGCATGTAGAGAGGAATCCGCTCATGAACAAAGAAAGAGCGTTTCGGTAAAAAGATCAACATTTCGACTCAGCCATTTATTTTAAAACCTCGATGAAAAATATTATTGCAATAGATACCAAATGCTGACAAAAATCTCTCAAAGCAGGCATGCAGCACTTTAACACACCTGAGGAAATTTTCACAGCCAAAATGTGTTTTTATTTTCTTCATTTTTTTTCTATAATTCTCAAAATGAAACCCTACTGCTATTTCCTTTGTGGTAAAAATACTACTTAAGATTTTTGCCAAAACGTTTTTTTTTTCATAATCTGATTCACCTTCCAGAAAAGCTCCTTACAGACCAAATTCCGCAAGTAACCAAAGCACACAAGAGACAGAAATGATTACAGCCTTCTTCAGTATTGCATAACACCGTGTGGGAAACAGACACATTCTGTACGAGAGTACGAGAGTGATGCTGCTCTTGAACTCATTTAAATTTAGTTTGATTTATTTGTACCCAGCCACCGTTTCCTACATGTGAAATCAAAACTGCCTTAATGTAAATAAATATAGGTTATGTTTTTCTTTTCTTTTTTAAAATGAAGTCTTTGAAAATGAATCTCTATACAGGAAGCTCAACATCACACTCGAGTCAAAGGTGGGGAACCCTAACGGCAGAGAAAAGCAGTGATTGAAATACACTGTAGGACACACTGTCAGTTTAAAGTCCTAATACAGACGAAGGCAGTGGCTGCCTCACTGACTGCAGAACCAGTTTGAAACAAATGCACCCAATTAGCTCTTATTTTAAAATATGATTTATTTTAGGCCTGCATGCATGTGGTCATGCTGAATTTAGGTCAGAATTAGTTGTCAACAGTTGCATTAGCGTAATGAGTTGAGGATCTGTGAGTTTTTAAGTGTGTGCCCCCAACTAAATAATTTGTTCATACTTGCAGAGTATTCGTGACATCACAAAACACAAGATATACTTTATGCTCTAAAAGAACAGAAGTGTACAAAAGATAGACTTGAAATATGCTGTAAGTAACATTTTATGTCAAAGTGGAGTAGTGGCACTTTTTTCAGCAGGGGGTGGAATTGAAGAGAACTTTGTTATTCACTCTCTACTGATTTCAACTGCCATTAACTGCAATAAAACAACCTTAAAAAATGATCATGACATTGAAATCATCCTCACGAGCGTTCTCGTTATTTTAGCAAGTCTGAGCGAACTCCAGCATACCAGTACAAGGGTATTTCGTGTTTATAGGCCCTAGTTTAGCGGTTGCCATGGCCGCCAAGCCGAGCTCGGCGCACAGAGAGCCATCTGTAGAGGTAGTTCGTACTATTGGGGCGGAATGGGGGGCCAGTTGTGTTCCTGGCCCAGACGGTCCCGGCGGAGACACAGCAGAACGTTCTGTGACGATTCAGAAGAACCGATCGAAACCAGTGGCGATGTTTATGCTCGGTGCCCTTGTTACCCGAAACACGTAAACGAGTTGCGGCTTTAACGTATTCTCTTAGTTTAAGAATACTGATAGGAATAACCTTATGTCCTTTGTTGAAAAAAAAAAAACTTTTTAAGCAGCCTTAAAGTATTAAGAAAATTGATATCGGACGTCTGCAGAAACTGGTGCTCTATGTGACTCCTTTATGCGCCCAACACAAACCCTCTGCGTCTGCTTTTGAAGACGGTTGTGTACCTCTTTTCTGACTCCTTCCAGATGAAACCGTCCAGCGGTAGCTCTGCTCTGCGCCACTACAGTGAAATGCTTACTGCACTGAGCCCTGTTACAGGATGTTCGCTTCTAATGGACACCCTTCTAAGCGTGTGTTAATGAGATACAGTCCTTGACGAGACTTGCCTTGTTTTTAATTGTGACTGTGTAAGACAAAGTGTTCGCGGTGTGTGTGCAGGGTGGAGCTAGTGTTGGTGGGGGACGTGTCTTAATGCAGGGGAGTGACATGTATAATGACAGTACCTGCATCACCTTGGACTGACATTGATACTAAAACTGCGAGGTAGAACACTAAGCACAAAACGGAGCAAGGCAACACGTGCCAAGGCTGCAGGCCCTCAACAGGCCCTGAGTCCCACACCCTCGTCTGCCGCAGAGGTCTGGTGTCTGTACCACATTCACAGAAAATCAGTGGGGAAACAAGATACAACGTCGCTATTTTGATGAAATATCGGATCGGACAGCAGATCAGGCCCGCGCTGTGTTATGCAAACAGTCAATACGGGGAGAGCTAGTAAGGTCTAATAAGGCTATCTATCCCTCTAGTTCTCTTTCAGAAAACTAGTGAGCTAACCGCGTAAACTACAATCACATCAAGTCATTCACGTTGAAATAACTTGTACATTAAATTGGCACTGCTACTCCGAATTCTCCAAAATCCGAACCGAGATTTCTAGATATGTTCCGTAATATTCTATGACAGCCTTTCTGTGTGCTCTTTCCCGCATTTCTCGTAAACCTAAGTGATATTGTTTAGAAGGAAAATACAGAAAACCCCTTTACCATTTACAGTACCAAGACTTTCATTTTGTCTCCTGCTTTGGCTGCCTAGATGAAACACTGTCCAACCTTTAAACCGCAGTTTAGTATTTCGCTAAACTAATTAGACATTCCACGTCTGAGACATCTACTCATGTTGTTTTCCTATGAGGTATGGAATTATTTACGTGGAAAACAAAAACTAACAGCATGGAACATTTAGAGATGTCTTGTTACAAAATGTAGCTGCACAGCTTTTGGAAATCACGGCGTGGACCATGATTTATTTCCAAGTTAAAATAAACATCCTTTAAAATGTTAATTGTTAAAGGAAACATTTCAAAACCTTGCACAAATCGCAAAGTACCACGCGTCAGATATCCAGACAAGCGCTTCGAGTGAATTACAACCGCATGAGAATTTAATTTTCAGCTATCAAGGCAAATACAGTATAACAGTTTTAGATCGCAGGTGGTAGGAGCTGTAACAATTCCTTCTCACTGTCTGGCCCAGAAAGACGTGTATCGTTCAAGCTCATGAATATTATTTGACGTGCTCTTTGTAAAACTGGCAATTGTATTCAAAACGAAAAAAATAGTTAATTCGGCTCGTGTCGTTCGTTTCTTTCAGCTAATCGATCGAGGTTCTCATCCAGTCCTTTATAACCCTCTTTCATTCTGGTTATATTAACCCCAGAGCTGTCGGTTCCTGTTCCGAGCGAGCTACAGTACCTTTCTTTTATTGATGTTTATTTTTGTTCCAGTTTTCTGCAAAGCAGAAGATTTTAAGTGACTTTCGAAATTCTGCAAGTACCTTACAATCTCTAAATAGTTCAGAATAAAAAATCGCAGAAGGTCTGATTACATTAAATGTATTTTAAATGAAATGTTTAATTAAATAATGGAGCTTAAACGTAAAAGACCACAGATACAGAGTAATTTGGTACCGTAATTGAAAATCCTTGCTCAAAGGTGTCCGTCTTTCGGTAGCTGGATGCCCGAGTATGTCTTACAAGCCAGTCTTTCAAAAACCACAGAGAAGTGTGGTATGACTACAGCTGAACAACACCCTGTCGTATTCATTTCTCTGATGCCCTTCAAGTTAATATCTTGACTCTTCTTACTAGATAACTGTCTGCTCATTGAAACCAGACTAAAGCACTGATAAAGGTCTCCAACTACTCTTTCAAATTAACAATAGTAAGTGTTTAATTTCCCAGGAACAGTGTGTGAAGTGTAGATGTGTACCGTAGTACGGGTTGATGTGGGTACATGCAAAAACATTTTCCTTCTGCTTCTATAGAAAATGTAAATGTACATATGTGATAAATGTGACAAAACGTCGTTTTTACGCAAGAATGTGTGGAGAATTTGCTCTCCAATTCATTACAAAAATCTTTTATTTTTATACTGTAAACTATTTTTTTCTGTCCGCGGCAACACCACAGTTGAAACAATTGTGATCCCTTCAATTAATCCTGTTAAATAAACGCCGGTAGTCTCTTCAGTACTTCTATACTGGCCATTTCACGGTACAGCCTTACTTTAAAAATCAGGATTCTTCCCAGTTTAGCTCTCTAGGGATGTTCCCTTGTCCTCATCTCTCAGGAATCATCCTCCAATGCCGGGCCATATCAAACCTTTCACAAACCTCAAATGAGGCGCGCTGATGACAAGATGAAGCCCATGACAACAACATGGGCGGTTCTCAAAACAGCCTGGACTAATGGAGCATAATGTTTTTAAAAAGCGGACCTGTAGTTTGGAAAATGTAGCAGAGATCTCTCGCTTCAAAAAAGGAAACTATCGATTGAGCTGAGTTGTTCTGGGAAATAATAACCTTGCTACTGCAGTCTAAACACTGATTTGAAGAACAAAGCTGTGTGTTTGATACTAATGTATTAGAAAACAATTGGAATTAATTATAAATTATGTGGGAGCCAACCTCTCTTGACCTTTATTTGTTTCAAAACATTTGACGTACAGTACAACCGAATAAGCTAGAAATCTAGATATATCTAAATACGGGTGCTTTATCCCAATTTCTCTCTGCGAAGTAAAAAAAAAAAACGAATTATTATCACGTCTCCATAATACTCCAACTAAACCCCAGCCAGGATATCACGAAAAACACTCCCACTATAAACACACAGCATAATTCCGCGCCTTCATTATTTTATGCCTGTGGTTAATTTTAATGTATTCACGCAGCACTACTAAAACCATGAGCCACCAAACCACCTTTGGTATGACTCAGATTAAGCAAAAGAAGAATTTATTGCATAATCACAGACGTATTCATTTTACATGACTTTTTGCAGATTTGTAAATCCACAATACTGGATCACACTACAGCAGGCACTGTCCTCCCCCATTATTTAAAATACAATTGCCTGTCTTAAATTCGGAGCCTTTTAATAGCCGTCAGCTTCACGCGCTGATTCAATATTCAACAAATTAAAAATGTATTAATCGAAAAATGAAACATCCAGCAATAGCGTGCATCGTGTGTGGGTCGCAATGCCCACGACATGTATACAATGTTCTTTTTATTATGATGATATGTATGCGGACATATATCTAATATTCGTATGTCTGTAATAAAAAAATAGCAAATCTTTGAAGAGGATGTCCTAAAGGACATGAACATAACTTAATTCACATTGTTTCCGTCATTCAAAGCCATCCGCCGTTTTTTCATGATCAGCTTTCGGTCTCTCTTTCGTTCTCCTTCAGGAGGTCTGTCATAAAGGAGATGTACACAATAGCTAGCCGAAGGGTTTCGATTCTGGAGAGTCTCTTCTCGTAGGCGAAGGTGGGCACCTTCTTCCGCAGTTCATCAAAGGCCTCGTTTAGGCTGAACATCCTTTTTCTCTCCCTGATGTTGGCGGCCTGGCGCTGGGATGTGGTGATCACGCGTTTCCTTTTCGATCGGCCCGTTAATGGGCCGACGTCGTACTCAGGCGACATCTCCATCCCCAGAGAGCCCAGACACACCTTTCCAGCGAAAGGAACCGGCCCTTCCCCAATGTCACGAACGGAAGCGATATCGCCATAAAGCCCTCGCAGGTCCGCGGCGTGCAAAGACGTGGCCGAGGTCGGTTTGGGCTGCCCGGGCGACTGCAGAGGCAAGTCCAGAAAGTTGACGTCCGTTACGAAGTCCATAACGGGAGTATCCAGGAACGCTCCTTCCATTTCTCCGAGATCCGTAGGGAATGCTGATGGAAGCATGTGAATGAATCTCGAGTGCCTGGCTTGAGAGCAGCAAGGCTGGCAAAATACAATGAAATATTATCAGTTAGGCCATTAGTATTTATAACGGAGGAGATAACGGGATTAAGAAATCGTTGAAAAAGACCAACGATCTACCGCGTCTTAACGCTGATGAGAGCTGACAGCCAACACTTCAGCGCGCGTGGATATCAATAGGAGAGTTTCTCACTTGTTAAATCCCGTCAAAGCCATGGAGTTAGTTCCTTGTTGGCAAAGCTCCACCACGGGTCCTGCCTGCTGTTTTTAAATATTTTTTTTTTAATTCGACTTCAAGCGAACTTATTTCCAGTTCTTCAGAAGTAGTCAAGATCTCTGTGAAGGCATTTTGGCTGAATTGTGTTAAAGAGGATGAGCTCCTTGGTACCGTTTCGCTTACAAGTGCATGCAAGCTTTTAATGATGTTCTGAAGAGGGGAGCTGCTTTACAAAGGGTCACCCCGAAGTGTTTACTCAGTATCCTGGTGCAATGGGAGCTAAATAAAGGGACCTCTATTATCTCAAGGAAGCAATGTAGGGGACCACATAGAACATTCCCCAACAGTTACTATTTGAGTCAGCTTTATTTTGCAAATAAGTGCAAATATTTCTCAGTTCCCTGGAGAGCTAACACGTTTCCATTCTGTATGGGACACCCAGGAAGGTCTTTAGAAAGTTCTACAAGTTTTCTATAATTCAGATCCAATTTAGTATTAAACTATATGCCTAGGGTAGGTTTAATCTGTGGTTTCTGAGTATTATTAGGAGAAAGTCATCAGCCATCACTCTCCCATGTGTGTTTTATACAAGTGATGTACGCAGATTAACACTATTTTGGAATATTGTGAAACGGATTTGAGCAGACCAAAAATGAAGATTAATCTGTGATCCATCCATGAATATTAACACCTGCAGCAACATTTCTTGTTATTACATACTTACAGCATATTGTAGAAACCTGTAATTGAATCTCTAGTTAAATGTCTTACTGCATGATTCATCAAAAAGCACAGGACACAAACATATGACCCAGCTCTTGCCTGCAGTCATTCTTTTGTGTAAATGTCTGAAAAATAAAGCCCATTTCCATGAAGCTTGATGATAACATTCATAGCAGACATGCACAATATTACATTATTCTGCAAATTCAAAAGCCATGCCAATGCATTTAAACACCAGTACTGAAGTGAATACATTGAGCTAGCCTACCAGTGAACTGTGTGTTTGGGGTTCTTGCAGGAAAGAAGTTCAGATACTACTGTAAATCATAAGGCAAGTATTTGTGAAGGCAACCTTTGTGTACAAAATATTTGCATCAGTATGATTTGATGAATTTGACTTTTTAAACCATTTTTCGTGGGAGGTTACGATGAATCCTATGATTAAGGTAGTACTGTATGTTAATGTGACAGAGAGGAAAGGCAGGTGAGATTTCTGCAACAAAAACTATGACTGCTTCGGCTGTTGGTTTTACAATTTAGTGTCACTCTTATAATGATGTAAAATAATGTATTGACCTGAAGGTATTGCAGGGATTACTCTAGTCCGGAGAAACAGAAAGTTGAAATGTGGCTTTAGTCACCATCTAAACACGTCCAGTATTTACTTTGGTTCAGATTACAAAGTATACTAAAGATTCTGACCCTGTATCTAACCTGGTCAAAAAGTTAAAGCGATTAATATGATAGCAGTAGCATTGCTGTTTGGATTTTCTGTGATACTGTGTCTTTTAGCTGTTAAATGTTAATTTAATCCTAGTTGACACATGTATCTTTCTGCAGCACCGGGAATTAAAATCTTAATCTGTTATGCACTCTAACATCTTAAGCCTCACGGGATCATATATTATGCTTTTTTATCCATTACAGAGCTTGTTGTAGAAGTAGTGCCAGAATCGCTACACAATTTCAATAACAGTGAAGATTTACACATTCTTTCTGCCAATGTCATGTAACTCCCCCAAAGGCCCATTAGAGACTCTTGTGGTTTGGTTATTTGTGAGACATGATACACATGGAAGCATGACAAATAACAAGGTTAAGAGCCTCTCGGCAGCGATCTTGAGAGCTGTTGGCTGATTTTCAGGCAGTGCAAATAGGGAGTGTGACTTTTATGTGCACCTATGCTTTATAAATCACAACAGGTTTTTGTTACTTCATCTTAAGTTATTAGAATTGGGATAGGCATACATATTATATATAACTGTTATTTTATAATCAGTTGAATCAAATAAAAGAATGATATGAATTACGAAAGTTTAGGTTTTAGATGTATTTGCTTCATGTCTATCAAAGGATTTACAGTGGTGTTCTGTAGGCAGCTCCAATTCCTTTCATAGAACACCAGACTGGTGCACTGGTCACCATTCTGGACACTCAGGACTGTAACCAGTTAAGCCAATGACTAGATTTGTAGTGGACTGTCTGTAATTTTAATGTAATAAATTAGGAACAAAACCTAAATTAATTTTCTAGAAGAATGTGTGCAAGCAAGCTTCAAATGGCAAACTATGAGTTCAGGCAACAGCATGACTGTAAGGGTCATGTCATTTGAGGTTTCCTGATGAGTAATGGTGATATATTTGTGATTTATACAATTATGTCTACCATATCAACAAGCACATTCTTTTTCATATGGTCATTATGTTGGTGGAGTAAGAGATGTGCTCTGTTACAGTCTTTCCTCTTTCCAGAGGGAATTAAGACAGTAGAGGATAAGCTCTTAGTTTGGTTGCAATATAGATTCAATAAAGATCTAGTGTTTCTAGAACCTAGATCTAGAACCTTCTCCTGCAATAAACATATTGTTGGAAATATATTATTCTGTTGTCATACTGCAGTCTGTAATATCCGTTGAAAAATATTTTTTTCCTTCTTGAGTGCTCAATCATACTTTTTGATATTTGAAAATTAAAAAAAAAAACTAAATCGTGAGTGTCTCATTTTTAGGGTATATTAAGGCTCCTGCAAATCATTCAAAAAGAAAAGTCTCAACATTTGCTAAAATTCTTTCAGGGCAGCAGTGGTTAACATTGCTACATTGCAGCAATGGGGCCTTGGGTTTAATTCTTGGGGTGCTGTCTGTGTGGAGTTTGTATGTTCTCTCTATGTTTGCATTGGGTGCTTCCTATGGGTGCTCCAGTTTCTTTCCACCGTCCAAAACCATAATCGTGGGTTAATGGTCCTCTGGGAAAATTGGTCCTGGAGTGTGAGTGTGTGTGTTTATGTCTGTGGTCTGTGTGTGCCCTGTGGTTGACTGGTCATCATCCAGGGTGTACCCTGCCTTGCACCTGTTGCTTGCTGGGCTGGGCTCCAGCTCCCCTGCAGCTCTGTACTGGACAAAGCAGTAAGAAAATGGATGGGCAGCAGGGTCCCTCTGCAGTGATCATTGAAAAGAGTATTGATCAGCCCCTGGTTGGTAGCCATGTCTTTTCTTTCGTCTGTTTTCCTTTGCTGTAGGAGAAACATGATGCTTGCATTCCAGGGGTTGCCATGGCAATTGTGAGACACTGCAGCTGGAGAGTGACACTGGAGCTAATGAATACGTGGTCATCGGAGGCTGAGGAGGCTCGTGGAAACAATTTGAAACAAGAAGCAAAAACTAAAGAAACAAAACAACATGTCGTTTGACTGACTATCACGACATCTATTACAGAACTATTTACATGTAAATATTTACAAGTAGGAATACCTTAATACGACACTGCAGTTCATATATACTGAGAAGCATTAAAAAATGCAAGAGAAATTATAGCATTTATTGCCACTCTAATGCCTCTCAGTTAAGTACCGCAGTTTTGAAACTAGGTATTCGAAGTGACGCACGTACAGTAGCCTGCTAAATGTTTTTGTAGCTGGAATTAAAGAAGAAAACAATTGCAAGTTGCTTGTGATACAGACACTCCAAAAATTGCGTAAGTGTTTCTTTGGAATTCAATATCTGAATATGTGTATGTGAAAAGCACACTGTACTAAAAATCAAGATACAGTAAAAATCACATTTTTCATTTTGTTCACATTTATTATTTGATTTATGCCATGCAGTAGAGTTCATAATGAAGACCCAGATTCAGTCAACTCTTCAACCTGCCCAACACTGGCAAACTACTACATTATAAAACAAGGCCTTGATGGCAGCCTTTCGTTTTTCAGCTAAGAATGTCCTGTTGTATTTTTATTATACACCCCAGTCCGAAGATATTGCCGCTTGTGTCTTTCCACCTCAGCTCACAGGGACAGCCCCTGTCCCCACCCGGGGAGAACGAGGAAACGCAGACATGTCTTCGGACACACTGCGAGCTCTGTGGTGAAACATGGGAGGCCCAGTGCCGATTGGATGATAGACACAGCCCTCAAGACTCAAGACTCAAGTCCTGTCTGACCAGTCCCACCCCCAGCAACTGTGTCACCGTCAAGAGGTGAAACCTGCGAGCTGCCCCACAGGTCGAACCACAGACTTAATCGAAGCAAAGCACACAGTACAGTACAAGATTTACGCATCAAGAGGCCATAGATGTCACTGAGGTTGGTCATGTGTAGTTCCTAATCCATCTCTGGACCACACATCTAATTTGTGTTCTGGCATCTATCAATCATCACCGTTAAGTTCAGCAGACATCTGTATAGCATAGAATTTTCCCTGGTTCACTGTACTTTACCGCGTTTTACTGCAGTCGTTCCATGATTCACCATACTAAATGCTTCTATGGGGGCTTAGTAATGCTTTGTAATGTCTTTCTAAAATGTTACAACAGTCCAGAAAAAAACTGGCACACTGATTGTTCTGTATATACTATAATATACTTTGGCTTTTGATAAAGATATTGGATATCTTGTCAAAGATTTTCTGATAAGCCGTATTAAGCTCTCTAAGAGGTGTTACAGTATGTGATTGAGAGGAATATGAACATTTTTTGTGAAAAAGCAAAACAACAAAATAGCTGAAACA